CCCCAACCACATCGCCGAAGCCTTTCAGTCGCTTTTAGCAGACTCCCCTTCATATTTTTGGAAAGAAAATGGCCGCGTCGCTTTTACCAGACTCCACTTTATGTATTTTTCCCTCCCCTCTCCCCTTCATTTTTTCTTCGGTTCCTTTCTTGCTTACCTACCTTTCGTGTTCCCCCTCTCAAGTTTGATCCATTTGCGCAAGTCTGTCGAAACCATATCGTGCTATCAGAATATGTCCTACCATTGCAATATCATCATGTATTTGTAACGTACTTTTACGGCCAGGCGCTGTGTGCCGCCCAGAGATTTACAGGGACGTTCCCGGCAGTTTCCTGCTTGTATTTTTGAGACCTCTGAATTAGAGCGATCAACTACTATGCTCAAGCAGTTTCCTCTGAGTAGAACCAACGGCACTTGTTGTGCTGCCGTTCGGCGCAAGCTTGAGCACGCCTGTCGCGCAGGCTGCCCTGTAGGCAGCGAGCGCCTCTAAGACTTTGGTGGGTCCTGCTTGTGGCAGAAGAGCCGCCGAACTCAAAGCCTGCACCGTCTTCAAGCTTGGCTTCTTGACGTTGCCACGGCCAACGGTGCCCAGCCGGCGCATGCTATTTTTGACGTGTCCCAATGTCGACTCCGCACTGTTGTCTCCAGCCTCCAGCGCAAAGATGATATGAAGATATCTGACATGTTTTTACACATTTCCCTGTATAGTTCAAGGTGGTGGCAGATTTAATCCTTCATGATGATTTGAAGATATCTGACATGTTATCATCCATTTCAATATATAGTTCAAGGAGGTGGCAGATTTTCATCCCTCATGATGATATGAAGACATCTGACATGTTATTACCCATTCCAATATAGAGTTCAAGGGGGTGGCGGATTTTAATCCCCCATTATGATATGAAGATATCCTACATGTTTTTTCCCATTTCGATATAGAGTGCAAGGTGGTGGCAGATTTTAATCCTTCATGATGATTTGAAGATATCTGACATGTTATCATCCATTTCAATATATAGTTCAAGGAGGTGGCAGATTTTCATCCCTCATGATGATATGAAGACGTCTGACATGTTATTACCCATTCCAATATAGAGTTCAAGGGGGTGGCGGATTTTAATCCCTCATTATGATATGAAGATATCCTACATGTTTTTTCCCATTTCGATATAGAATGCAAGGGGGTGGCAGGTTTTAATCTTTCATGATGATATGAAAATATCTGACATGTTATCATCCATTTCGATATATAGTTCAAGGGGGTGGCAGATTTTATTCCCTCATGATGGTTTGAAGATTCCTGACATGTTATCACCCATTTCAATATATAGTTCAATGATGTTCAATGGGGTGGCGGATTTTAATCCCTCATGATGATATGAAAATATCTGATATGTTATTTCCCATTTCGATATATAGTTCAAGGGGGTGGCAGATTTTTGATCCCTCATGATGATATGAATCATCTTACATGTTATTTCCCAGTGCGATATAGAGTTCAAGAGGGTGGCGGGTTTTAATCTATCGTGATGACATGAAGATCAAGCGGGTTCGCAAGTTGTACTGGGCACTGGCTGCTTGCCAAGCGATGCGATCGCGGTCACGCAGCCCGCCTTGGCACCACAACCACACAGCCTCCAATGGCCGTTGCGGCCTTTGATTCATCGTGGGACCTGCGGATATAGTTCCACATGGGTTAATAATACCCGTGTGATCTGCGGATATAGTATCGTAAGGTTTAATATCGCCGTGTGTGCCCGATATCATCATCATCATCATCATCATCCAACATCATCCATGATCGTGTAACATCATAGTTGTGCGTCTGGGCAACACACGGTGCGTGTGGGTACTTTGATCGTAGGCCTGAGCAAGGTACTGACCCGCAACTACGTTCAATAGAATGTGTGCGCGCGCACAAAAACATATACATTACGCGTTGCTCGTCGGAATTTCCAACACTTGCTCATTGATGAAGCTACGCTGTTGGAAGTGCATTGCGAGTGATGTTGCGTTACCAAACTGCGAATTTGAACTTGCAGAAACTATCGATACCACGCCACGTGCTCGAAATTCATTCTGCACGCGCGCATGTGCATGATGCCACCTGACTTGGAGGTCATTGGGCTTACACAAAACTGATGCATGCCTCTTAGAAATTATATTGCACTTTCAGTCACGCATGCATACGATTGAATGACTCGCCCGTTGTATTTAGCTTTTGCGTTTGCAGGCATACTGTGTACTTGCACAGATGCAGGGTGGTACACTGCTTGATAATTAGGTTGCATTTGCACAGTGTTTCAATTTCGCTTTGTGTCTGTACACACGATTGAATGCTGCACTACTTGTACTTAATTGTACGTTAGCACAAATGCGCTACACTTGCACACACGCACATGTAACGCAGTTTGACATTCACCTTGCACTTGTTCTCACACATGGTGTTACGCTACTCGATGTTTTTTTTGGCATTTGTTCACACGAAAATGCTGGACCACTTGTATTTCATCCTTCGTTTGCGCACATGTGTTGTTGCACTTGCACACATACAAGATGCTACGCTGCATTCATGTCGCGCTTGCACAAAAACATGGAGTTACACTAGTTGAAATTCTCGTGGCACACGTACACACGATTGAATGCTGCTTTATTTGTGTCTAATGTTACGTTAGCACACATGCATTGCAATTTCACACAAACAAATGTTACGGAAATTCATTTTGCCCTTGTTCAAACATATGATGTTACACTTGTGTTGTCGAATTGTGTTTGCTCTAGGATATTTCATCTTGAGAAAATGGAGAAGCAATGCCAAAAAAATGGAATTGGAAAATGCAAATCTGAAAGAGGAACACATGACAATGCAGAAAAAATGGAAAACAAAATGCAAATTGAAAAGGGGCAAACATTGCAAATGGAGGAAACATGTAAATAGCAAATGTAATTTGGAAAGGGCCGCATTTGACAGATGAAAAACACATGGAAAGAACCATTGCAAGTTGGAAGGGGGCGACATGATATGTGGAGAATAGAGGCAGATGAAATGCAACCAGGGAACAGGGAAAATTTCAAATGCAGCACGCATGGACACAACAAATTAACTTGGACAAGGTAGTAAAACCTGCGCAGAAGACAATGGAACCATTAAATTTGAAAAGCGAGGTCCGAGGTGAACCCGTGAAGCCGAAGAAGAACGCGCAATGTTGAGGCTCACGCCTGCCAAGTTGAGGCCTTGAATTCTTTGCAAGAAATGTTCAAAAAAAACTGGAGATAAGATAGAATCATGTAACCATCCTACACCTGAAGTCCTTAATTCCTTGCAGAAATTGTTGAAAAAAAACTAAAAATGAGATAGACAAATGTAACCATACCACACCTGAGGCCCATAATTCCTTGCAGAAAGTGCTGAAAAAAGAAGGTAAGCATAAAATTTTAAAAAACACAATCCTAAACATACGGCCCATAGTTCTTTGCAGAAAGTGCTCGAAAAAGAAGGTAAAACTAAGATTGAAACATGTATGTTGTTTGAAGTTTATGTTGTGAGACAGAAAACCGCACGGGTAGTGATGTTGTTTTTTGACTACCGTGTGGGGTGTGGGGTGGGGTGGGGCGGGGCAAAAATGTTCAATAGTCCAATAACACGCGCACACATACATCATGCTACGTTGGAGACGTTTTCTATTGCATTTGCGCGCATACGTCGTGCCACGTTAGAGAGGTCTTCTGCTGCAAATGCACGCATGCGTCATGCTACGTTAGAGACGTCTTCTGTTGCATTTGCGCGCATACGTTACGCTACGTTAGGCTGTGCCCAAGGCGCTGCATGTTTAAAACAGTCGCAATTTCGACTGGCAGGCCTGGCAGGCGTGGGAAAATAACTACAAGGCACGCTGGCCTCTGTATTTTGAGCAAAAAAATATAGAAATGCATTTCCACAACGAAATGTTTGAAAAAACAAACGCAATGTAATCGACACCAAATCCAAGCAAACGCAATAATTCAAGCGTGCCGAAACATCGAAACCTCACAATGGACAGACTTTCTATTATACATCTTGTGCACAGGTGACCACGCCGCCACGCGCAGTTTCTGGTATATCGGGAAGTGTGTGCCCTCTAGAAGCGGAATTGCACGGTTTTCATATTTTCTCAAAACAAAAAAACACGGAAAAAATAAACACCGGGCCAGACGGAAAAAAAAACGCAATGTGCTGCCATCAGGGATGCAGAACGTTCAGTGCCACTGCTTATATTGTAAATGTTGATTCTGAACCCACGTAACCCAGCATGGTTTACGTACAAAAAAAATCCTTATACATCCTTATAGAATCTCAACCCTTTCCAACCAACCGAGCAAGAATCATCGTTTCATATTTTGTCATTTGTCTGTGTCGGAACCCCAGATTTTATAAGCAAAAATATTGTTGAAAACAAACAATAACACGGGTTCCGTGTATCTCGGGCCCTCCATGTTATAAGGAATTAAGTGGAAATGGGCATCTCGGTTCCTTGATTTTACCATGAAACACGTAGCCTAAAAAAAAAATACCTGATTTTATAAGGATATCCAATGACGTCGTCATGGAATCTGAGCCCCCGAGAGAGGTGTGGAATTACCACTGGGATGTGTCGGATGTGTTACTAAGTTTTGGATAGTTTTGGTGCATCAATAACGGCGCACAAAAATGAAACCCAGTTCATCCTTGTGCCAATTCGCATTGTTACTGTTGGGCCCTGGTGCGCCGCTGATGTTGAACCTGAAGCATCCGAACCATCGTTTTGATGCTCCAGGTGCATTCGGACCAACACGAGTGGTGATGTGGGCAACCATTGCGGTGGAATCATCATTCATATTCGTTGTCGTTGAAACTGAAACGGTGCGTTTTGATTCAGAATTGTTCAAACGCAACAATGGATATCATGGCCATTGGTAGTTAACACCTATTCGACAAATGGCAATGGAAAATTCGGCGTTGCTGCTGTGATTTCCGTTAGTTCCGCACAATTTGGGCACTGGAGATCATGAGAGGTATGAATGGGACCAAAGGGAAGGATTGGCGGCAAGGCAAAGATAGAGATCATTGTCCGTCCTCAGCACCCATGTAAACATCCCGTTGCAGTTTCACTGTGGTCATGTGCTAAAGCGGCCAACTTGGAAGCAAACCCTGATATACTGCACAACTGCTGGCAAGAGCAACATGTATTTTCCAAAAACGATCTGCAATGCGCAATTTGGGCCGTAAGCACGTTGCGATCATCCCAAGCGCCATTGCTGCAAAATCTGGTTCATTCTTTTGTGAGACGAAGTCGTGGAGCAACAGTTGTACCTGGGCTGGGGAATGTGTTTTGGGCGCTCAGCTGGAGTGGTTGTCTGAAGAACGCTATGGCATCTATTCCTGACTTGGAAAGCCAAGCCTCAGAATCTTTGACGTGGCTTGGCGCAAGAGATTTGGCAGGGATTGCTTGGGCGTGTGCTATTTCCCAATGCGGCAACCACAGTTTGATGGAAGCTGTAGCTGAAGTATGCGGATTGCGAATATCGCAGCTGCCACCCAGGTATTTGTCCAATGTTTTCTGGGCTTTTGCTAAGAGTTTGATACGGTGGCCAGGAAGCAATGCTGCTTGCTTTTGGGCTGTTGTCACCCAACAACTGTCCGAATTTCGTCCGGAAGAAATGGCAGCTGTTGCTTGGGCAGCAGCACGGACGCAGACGTCCATTAGCAGCACGGCAGTTCAGCCTTTCCACCGTCAAGTCATGATTTTTTCATACCATGGTGAGCTCGGTCCCCGGGAGTTCGCAAATCTTCTGTGGTCACTTGCCCGGCTGTCATCTCTGCAAAAGTCCGCTTGCGCTGAGCTATTTCAAGGGATGAGTACCAGGCACAACGAATTGCAATCGCAACACATTGCGAGTTTGGTTTGGACATTGGCATCCATCAGGCATTGGTGTTCACCATTCCTAGAGATGGCAACGGACTCCATTTGTTCACGTAGTTCCAACTTTGGTCATACTGAGTTGGTCGGTATAGCTGTGTCCTTTGCCAAACTGAGTTGCACTCAAAATTCTGGAGCAACTTGGTTTGATTGTTCATTCAGCACTTGCCCAGCTCAATCTCCAGACGAACCAGCAATATAAACCATAATAGATATCCAGATATCCGAAGATTAATATAGCATACATTTCAATCCGTTTGTTTTCAGGCTACGGTAATTGCTCTCATGACGAAATTGAGAGATATTGAAGGGTTTCAGGTGGATAGTTTTTGGAAACCCTGTGCGCCTCCCAGGTTCTGCTACATTGTGCGAGGGAGTTTCATTCCAACGAGTTGACAAGCCAAAGTTTCGCCAATTTGATGTGGGCTTTTGCGACCGTGCAACTTGCTTGCCTTCGGGAATCATTTGTGGATAATGTGGATACCCTCAAGCGTTTTTTGTTTCTCCTCCACTGGCCGGCCTAACCTCTCAGTCTCTTTCCCGCAAAGATGTGAAGGTGATGGGTGGGGAAAATCCCACATTCCGGCTCAGGTCCCAGACAGGGGTGATCGACAAGCACAGGCTGCAAAAGGTTACAGCGAATATCAATCAGTTGTTCAACAACTGCACCTCCCAAGAGCTGTCTACTACTGCGTGGGCATTTGTGAAGCTAAACATCGCGACAAAGCCCGTGATGCAGATTTTTGCTAGTCGTGCTTGTGAAATCATCGACAGTTTCAACGCGCAAAATGTGGCGAATTTTTCATGGGCATTGGCTTTGGAACTCCTATCGGACCTTGAAGTATGGCGGGAGCTGCGGAAGTTCGTAGCTGAACGAATGGCGGAGTTCAAAAGCCAAGAGCTCGCCAGTTTGTGTTGGTCTTTTGCTGTGGTCAGAAATCAATTCGACTGCCTCCTGGTTGCGGAAGCTGTTTGTTCGCAGCCGAATGATGCCATTCCCTCGATCCTGGGGGTGACCTGGGCTTTGAACCATTTAGAAGTTTCAGACGTGAGAACAAAGGCAGCGCTGCTGAGGCATGGCCAAAAGCTGGATGCTGCGCATGGCACCCAGTTGCCAAGGTCAACTTTAGCCGTTGCGCAAAGATCCAAGCAGACTATGAAGAATGCGGCAGCTGTTTCTCCACACATCTCCCTTGAACTGTTTGACCGCCTAGTGGTCAGCAAACCGTCAGGATGGGAAGTTGAGGAAGGCCAACGGAAAGATAAAGGCAGATGCCTCCCTAGTTTGAGTTGCTACCTCAGGGATTCTGAACATGCAGTGAGTTCTCCTATTTTTCATGACGCTTCGCATCATTATGGTTTTATTCATCGGCTGGACGTACCAGGTTCAGGCTTGGTTTTGGCTGCCAAGAGTTACTCCGCCTTCTACGATCTGCAATTTCAGCTGATGTCTGGACAGCTCCGCCGGGAATACATCTCTCTTTGCCACGGCTGGCTTTGCCAAAAGCAGGTGGATCGTTCGATCCGAACACAACGAGGCTTGCCCAGTCGAGTCAGTACTGGTGGGAGGCCATCAGTGACACAATTGACACGAATCGCATGCTGCTTCAGAAGGACAACTGGGCAGACGTTCACTTTGATCCTGGTGCGCATTTTCACTGGAAGAACACACCAAATTAGGGCGCTCCTCTTGAAAGAATAGCAAAGATCGACGAGATGATTTTATTTCGCGTTGATTTGAAAAGCGGTTTCGTGCCGCTGTTCTTTCGATATAGTAGCTCAAATCACAAGACCATCCGGAATCATCATTGACTTGTTGCGTGCTGACACATGTGTACTCTTATTCTCAGTGTTTGCAATTGTTTGCATATGTTTGCATATGTTTGCATATGTTTGCATTAGAATTAGGATGCGTTAGGCAAACTGCTCATGTTTGATTGCAGGCGATTCGGTGCCCCCTATTATTTATTTTGTGAATAGACACCGCCTAAGACTACAGTAAGACTTTGTAGAAATGACTTGAAGGTCCAAACGCATAACATGTTGCATTGGCATGGACTCATAATTTGCTGCTGGGGTGGCCCCAAGTGTAGCTGAACCTGGCTAGAAACGCAGTTTTTATATTGTTTTTATCGCCATCCAAGGCACACACTGCCCACCTGGGTCATCCCACAGTTTCTGATGGGAAATACAGCAGCGCGAGCACTTTTCAGGAGGATTGTCAATGGTGTCCACGGAACTTCCTGCACCGACATCGTGTGGGTTTCTTTAATCATCATGGTCAGTATGTGCAGGTGACTGAGGACTTGCCATCGGATTTGCAAAGAGTCTTGCTAGAACTCGAGCCCCGTGCAGATGGCTGGTCCAGGGAAGCTTGGGAGAATTTCGTCAAGAGCAGTTGAGGTGATTTTGGCTGCGACACGGAAAACTCCAAAGATTCTCGCTGACCGAAATGAGAAGTCTCAGGATTTGATAGGATTCGTGGAATGCCGAGCGTTCTTGACAGTTCTCCCTTGCTCAAAGAAACAGTGATATAAATTGGGGTTAATTTTATTCTCAACATCAGTGGTTAGACAGGTAGTTTGATTTTTTCGCGATCTTTCTAATCTTCATCCAAGACATGAATTCTTTACGTGCAACCTTGATCATTTTGATCATCTTGATGTAGGGGCCTTTTTGAACAGTGGGTGAGTGATGTGAGTGCAATCTCATTGCCTATGGCCGGCCGCAGAGGATTGCGCATCTCGTCGCCAGCATGTTGGCATGCAGGAGGGCCTATATGCATCCCATATTCTCATGGGCCCAGATCAAGATGATAAAGGACAACCACTTGGATTTTCTTGACTCCCACGGCAACAAGATGCAGCATCGATAAGCGGCTGATATCGGCTGCTCAGGGTTACCTTCGAGGCCATTTGGTGCATCGCCAGGCTTGCATTGTGAACCACTGGGTCGTCGACAAAGACAAGCCCTGCCAGGATCAAAGTGGTGTCACACAGATTGGGGCACACTGCAGTGTGCCCACGATTTTGCGTACCAAATTCATGATTGCCAAAGGATGGTGTCCTCGCAGCAGGCAGCAGGGAGGGAATTCTATCGCTTGGCCAAGGAAACATGGGAAACCGATCGGCTATGGCCATGGACTGCCCTGCTGCGGCGTAAATACCGCAATTGTTTTCTAACAAAAATGGCACACTGCCGGTGCGGAGCTGCGACAATTGGTGGTGCTGGATGGTGCCAGTCCTTCTCAGCAAATGTCAGCAATGAATAGCAATGACTTGTTGGACTGCAGCTTATGTCCCAGCCACAAGAGGTAGAAGTATATAGAATGAAGTAGACTCCTGCGCTGTGAAAAATTAAAGAACGACGAGGGATGTACCTGCCCAAGCGGAGAAGCAGTTGGGATCAAAAATGCTGACGCAACAGACGTTGCAAAGCCTTGGTTAGCAAAACTTTGGAGCCAGTTTCACGCATAGCAGGGGTTTGCTGAAATACCTGTCAATTTTGCAAAGGGGTGCGTTTAGCTGCTTACAGGTCATGCCACATAGCCAGAGCATGGGTTCTGGTAATAAGGATTCGACTGCCAAGGCGTTGCTGATGAGGCAAATTTGGGATCAAGGCGGTGAGATTTGACACGATGGAAAAGAATGAGCCAAACATAGCCAAACCAACCTGAAGTGGCACATCACTTGTCGATCTCTCAGGCCATCAAGCATTCGTAATTTGCAGTGGCCATCAGTGGCCTCATGCCTCGGAAAATATATCAACTGTATATATGATATTAATTGATATTAGGTGATGATATAACGGTTTATAACGTTCATTCAATTATATCAATATCATATATGAGAACATCCAGTGATTGATTTTGCTTTCTGGAGACATCCTTCGGCGCTCATGCCGCTCTTTGGATCTGCAAGCACTTCTAGCCTCCCAACATACGGTGCACGTGGCTCTTTTGGCCCTGGACGCATTCCTCGTTCTGATTTGCTGATCGTCGGGAATGATGCTCCGCGGGCTTCCCGTAGATCAGGACCAGCGAAGCGAGCGGCTGAGGTCCTGGCCTCAGTGCCAGGTTTGGCAGGGCAAACATTTGCAGCTTGTAAAGACAAGTGTTGCCAAGAGTATGATCCAGAATGCAAGTAGAGGTTGAAAGTTGAAAGGTTCAGTTTTTCATGAAACTCACCTCTGACATCACTGTTTGACTAGCTAGCTTTTTTGGCGATGCTTCATCACGGTGCAAAAGAACAAATCTAAGCAAGGAACCAAAATTAGATCCGTTGCAGCAGAGTTTGAAATGCGCATGGGGATTGATGCAAACGCCATCAAACGCCGTTCCACGTTGCACGCAGTGGCATGAAATCAGGATCGATGCAGATGTGGCACGGCCTACACGGCAGACTCCGCCTTTTGCCGAGTTTGTGGGGAGAAGAGGCTACCAGCTCCAGCAGCTCCACCAGCCCGTGGCAGATCTCCCAGCCCCGGTCTGAGCTCGCGCTCGAAGCGAGCAAGGCCTGAATCAGCACCAGCAGCTTCCCAGCCGGCTTTGTTCGTTTTTGTTGTGTTTTTTGGGATGCAATGGGATGCACCAAAGATAAACCATACCATGGCCTAAACGACCCATAACGACCCTAAAGAAAAAGTTCAATGGCCATTTCAGGAAACTAAACTGGAGGTACCTACCATATATAAAGCCCATGTAAAGACTATATAAGTGGATACGTCCATTCTAGGGTCTTGACATTTCCATTGAGAAAGTCCATTGAAAATGTTGAAATATGTTGTAATGAAGCCGCTCCATGGCACCTTACAGTCTTACAGTCAGGCACAGAGAGATTATTTGCCGGAGATGGTTCAAAGGCTACTTCCAGAGAACCAGGAGCATCCTGAACGAAGGCGACCTGCCTTCACTCCCGAGAAAGTTCTGGCGAACCTGCGCCGCTTGAGGCTGCGATCGGGCGTCAGGGTCCGCGATATACAGGATCTGACCCACCACCAACGCGATGGAAAACTCACTGTAGCAGAGTTTCGTAGCTTGTTGCGTGAGGTGGTGTGCTCAGTACTCCCAGATCATGTTTTTTTTGTCGTGTGTGTGTGTGTGCGCGCGTGTGTGTGTGTGTGTTGGGTTGTTTTGGAGGGTTCTCTGCATTGCTCATCCGCGACACTCAAAGTCTATCTGAATCTATACCGAGCACGTGACAAAAGAATTCAAAGGTCATCAGCAGCATGAGCCAGCCAGGGTGCTTTCTTCCTTACCTTAATATCTTTCTCCCTCTCAATGCTGCGACTTCCCCTGCACTGAAGGTTGGCATCAAAGTCGACGACGCGCTCGCGCAGGAGACCTTCGCACGCGTAGACAGAGGTGGCCATCACAAGATTTCATGGGCAGAATTGTGGGCCGCCATGGCACCAACTCCAAGTGATGTTTTGAAGGAGCTGAGGGTGGCCATGCACAAGAAGCGTATGACAGTGGCCGAACAAATTCGACCGTACGACTCCAACGTAGACTATGTCTTGACAGAAGGGGAGTTTCACAGGCTGCTGGATGGTTTGGGCTTCCAGCTGGACGATGCTGAGGTCAGACACATCCTTCATTTGATCGACCTGGATGGGAATCGGACGATTTCATGCAAGGAGTTGGAATATGCATTGGAGCTTAGAGGCGGGAATCGGGATGGGGTGGCATGGTTTGCCCGCGTGGGATTGTGATGTTTTGCAAGGCCTGGTCTGTATGTGCAACAAAAGTTGTATAACAGACGTGGCGTGAGAAACCCTGGCAGGACGGGTCAAATTGGCGTAATTACAGAAACGTGGTAAGTTTTTATCGGGATTGGCGACAAGCTTGGAGGCCGCCATTGCTCGCTTCTTGATTCTACATATTCTACCACCATTTGCATTCTTTAAGCCCATGGTTCCAGTAGTTGTATGTTCCAGTATGTGTGCTAATCCACACGCGTGTGGCAAGTTAGGAAAGAGCAACTTCCAGAGCACATAGGCTCATTTGCAAAGGCAACGAGGAGAGAGCCCAAGCTAAAACACTTTGCAGAAAAGAGCAAGTTCCACGTCGTGGCATCATTTGTGTTTGTGTCATTGTTTTGGTACAGATGGTATGCCTGGAGCTGGAGTTGGTTGCCTGTACCAGTAGGCAAAAACTCGGCTTTTCATGGCTTTTCTATCAAATGCGCCCGCCTAATCACCAAATCGAGGATCAGCAATTACACAGTTACTATATTATATAGTACTGACTACTGACTATATACATGCAAGCGCCAACCTGGTGTAAGGAGGTGAAACTGAAGCCCTTTTGCCAGTGGCTATTGCACCATTGTTGCACTGTCACACCAACGTGTTTCTTCTCTTTTGGTTCGCGCATACTCAAGCCAAGTTGAATATAAGTGTTTGACCATGTCTGGCATTTGCATGCATTTGCATGACTTAGATGGTTGTCGCGTTGGTCTCAAACTCCAACATTTTTGAGCAACCTGCAGCATCTGCAGCAACCCTGCAAGGTTCGGCACCCAACGAAAGGCCCACGCTTAGCAGGGAGAGGTGGAAGGGCGATGAGTTGGTACCTCCCAAAGGGTTCACACAAACCTCGCCTGACCTGGCCATGCAAGTGCCAGAAGGTGCTGGAGAACCCTCTCCAGCTCGACCTGATCAGACGGTGTCGCAGCCAGATCCGCCAGCTGCAACCCGTGCTTTGAATGAAATTCTGCGGGAGTTTGATCCGAGCCCGCTACTCGTCAATCCCTCCAGCTCGTCAAGCGCCCAAAAGACCACGCGACCGCGACCAACCCTTGAGGACGTCATGTCACAGCTGCGGAATCTGCGGCTGGTCCGTGGCATATCGCTGGCTGATCTGAAGAGCACTTGCGATGCAGGTGGTGACGTGAAGTTGACCAAAGATGACCTACTCAAGATACTGCTGCGCGTGGCTTGGCATATTCGTTTCTGACATGACTGTGCGGCATTGTGCCCCGGTTTTCTTACTTAATTTATTTATATTTAAAGTCCATCCATCCAATTGTTGCAAGTCGTTTTCCACCAAAATGATTTCAAATTCAAAGTTCTTCAAAAAGTAAGTCGTATGCCAGGCTGCCTGCCATGGAGGAAGAATGATAATAAATCATAAGATAATGGCCATCGATTGCCCAAATGCCCATCATCACATCTAGAATCTAGATGAAAGGTCGGAATACAAGCCCATGCCGCCCTCGCTGAGAGAGTCTTTGCTTTCATTGACCAAAATGGAAATGGAAAGATCAGCTGGGAAGAGTTGTGGGCAGCTGCCAGACCTTCAGTAGACGAAGTTCTTCAAGTGCTGAAGGCTATCAAGGAGCAAAGAGGTCTCAGCATCGAAAGATTGCTTCGTCAGCACGACTCCAGTGGAGATGACAAGTTGGCCTTCAGTGAGTTTCAGAAATTGCTTCAGTCACTGAGCATAGACATCGATCAGGAGACAGCAGCGGAGGTCTTCAAACGCCTTGACCGTGATGGGGACAGGCAGCTGTCCCTGGGGGCGCTTGCTGGGCTTGACTCAAGAGGAGGCCTGTGGTTGCCGGTGATTTGGCCTGCTCGGCTTACATAAGAATAACAACCATAGGACCATAGACATCTTGCGGTGGGTCATTCCATTCGCCGAGGATGGAGTTTGACTATTCAAGGTGGTACGGCATATGATGGCATATGGTACCTCAAGTTTTGAACTAGAATCTAGAAATACTATGAAATACTTATAAAGGCGTAAAAGGTATGTGAAGGTCAACCTGGGGATATGCCTGCAGTAGCAGCCATGAAATGGGCCATGAAATCTGTAGGTCGCCAAGCGCCGGCTTCACCTCAAGGTGGGTCTGGAAGAGCCTCAGGAGCCTCAGGAGCATCAGCTGACGTTTTGGATGACTACCTGACTCGCGAGCAGCTCAGGGAAATGATCATCCAAGCTGGTGTTGCTGCAGAGGACGAAGAAGGTCTTCTCAACAAAATTTTCCAAGAAATAGACACCGGCAGGACAGGGCGAGTAGCTCGAAGAGAATTGTGGCAAAAACTTGACCGATTTTTGCCCAGTGGTGAAGAAGAGGCTCAGATCGATGCTGCCATGCCCATGTCTAGGCCAAGAATGCCCAGCCCACCACGTCCTGCAACACTGCCACAGCCTGGTCGATATGAAAGTCCTCGATCAGCTTCAGGATATCCTTTAGGTTCTCAAGCCTGGGAATTGCTGCATCGGATCTACCGCCGCTTGGCGGGTCAAGATCCCAATGTCCCAACGATATCCTTGATTGAAGAGATTCGGCGTGATGTGCATGTCCGCAACGAGAGGCTCTTGGAGCGACCGGTTGTTGGGATAGCATTTGGGCAAGGCCCCAGTATTTCATTAGACGCTGCGCTGCAGCATGTTTTGCATCAAGTTGCAGGTGAGCGAAGCGTCTTGGAACACACCACATGGGAGCGCTTCAACTGGCTGCTGATTGAGGCTCAGCGCTTCTGTCAGACGGAGGTCCGAAGTCCAAGGCCGATGGATCCGCGGCAACCTCCGGGCCGTCCAAGATCCCCAAGACTGGAAAGCCCGGCTCGTTCCCCAAGCCGGGATGGATGGTCCAGATGGGTCCTCTCTGCAGGGGGATCTATGGCTGGCTGCCCGAATCCAGATGAGGAACCTGGAGGGGCAATCGAGTGAGCTCCTCAGCGTTCAGTCGGATATTCCACATTGGATTCGGATCCATATATAGATTTCATTAGATTTCATTGGGTTGCCGCAGATTACCCTAGTATTCTGAGTGTGTGTGAATGTGTTGCCACCCTCAGAGTCTTTTTTTTGTTGATCTCAATGATGAATGTTGGTTGTTGCATGCTGTGGCATGCTGAGCTGACAGGTGGGCGGCCAAAGAGCTGGGTTTCGACCGTGAGATCCTCTACCGTTTGTTTGACATGTTCCGGCAGGGGGCGGAAAGACCTCGACTGGTGGGCCGGGATCGATTCATACAATTGGTGCAGGCCAGTCCCATCAGATTACAAACTGCTCTCTTGATGACCCCATTGATCTCCAGCACTAGGGTGATCCAGCCCATGAACTGGGGAGATTTCCTGTGGTATTTGTCTCAAGTTGATGCTATCAGTATTTCATGGTCAGATATCTTGGCCACAGCGTGTTGGTGTCGGACAGTGAGCCTTGGGTTAGCAACGGGGCAACGACATCCCAGTCAGATGTCCCCAAGGATTTCAGTGGCCGAAAGCAGAGCGTGGTTGGACGAGTACAGGCGACGTGCTGAAGCACAAACGCCTACCAGGGTGTCTAGTCCCAGCAGCCCCAGCAGAAATGCGATTCCATCTACCTCCTTGCCTGCTGTGCAGAAACTGGCTCCCAAGATACCCCAGCATGCTCAGCCCACCAATTTCAGTGAGGGCTCTCCATTGGCTGCGATTGAAAATAGTTTCGCAAGAGTGTCTGGACCCATGCCACAGCAGAGAATGTCGAGGCATCCATTCCTTCCAGATGCTGATGATTTTCCGCCACACTTCAGGGGCTACTCAGACCGGATGGGTTCGCCGCCGCCACTGGCAGAACCATCTGGTCTGGATTCGTGCAGCAAACGTTTGAGGTTTCAAGTCAGCAGACCCTACGATCCAGCAGAGAAGGACAGGATCGCAGCAGAGCTGAGAAAGATTTTGCGTATCGCAGCCGTTAAGTCCATCGATCATGGAAGGCGTGACCTAAAAAAACACTGCGGCAGTGGCTGTGACTGTGACCAATTGTGACAAGCCATCTGCTGTACCGGTGGAATCTCGTGGATCATCTGGATATCTTTGGATAATAATTATAAATATATTACAAGATTAATGATAACTGGTTGGTGGTTTGGAACATGACTGGATTATGACTTTCCATATATGGGGAACAATAATCCCAACTTTCTTGACTTTCATAGTTTTTCAGAGGGGTAGGTCAACCACCAACCAGATAATGATGATTGTGGTATTGTGATATTGTGTGAGGCACTCAACATTGAACTCAGCCAAGCCCCACTATGTCCCACTGTCTCCATGGCCGTGGCCACAAATGGCGATCGCATGCGATCGCCACAGGCCTCCCAGCCCGTTGCGGCGCTCGGTGAGCCCTGAGTCCTCTGAGCCGGAACAGCTGCCGCCGGATTCTCAATTCTTTGGATACGCATAGGAAAACATATATTTATCATATATATATATATATAACAAATATATAGTGTATATTATAGACAGTAAAAATCAGTAAAAAATGGAGAAACAAAAACATATAAGCATATATTAACATATATTTTAAACATTTTGAAACTAACATCAGCATACATCAGCGATATCCTTGGGATCATATTGGAAACACAACATGGATGATTATCGTATGACTTGATCAGTGGATATTATGATTTGCAGATATGAACTCCCGAAGGATGAACGCGAATGATGCGAAATTTGCCTCGATCTCCGCTCGTGGTTCATATGAGCTCCGTTTTCGTTGCGAAACCTTAGGGAATCTGATGGTATATGATGCTTCACTGGACTTTGAGCAAAGGGAAGGTCTGTGAAGTTTTTTCGATAGATCCGATGTGGTGAATGACTGGACTGGATATGACTGGATAATCGGAGCAGTTCAAGGCTTGAACATTTAGTAAATTTTGAATTCTGGTAATGAAACATGGCAATTTGAAATCCCCTATCAATGGAAGTTTGAATGGGAACATCATCTCTACATGGTGGACTTTCCATTAGCCAAATCACATGTGCATAGTTGCCTGGCCACTGAAAATGCTGCAAGGTCAGACGCCCGGGACACGGGAGGCTGATCTGCTGATGCGTTTCATCAAATTTGTTGTCCGCAATTGAGCCACAAGATGATCCCACGCGACTTGCATGATTTGCATGATGTTGATCTTGTATATCCTGACTGAGTTGAGGATATTGACAATGAGATTGAAATAATTAGTTCAGGCATGTGTCATGCTGCGGAAAAATGGACAATCTCCAGTTGTGATGATTCTACAGGTGAGGACGTGGAGGAAGTGCCCGAAAGCAAGATGGCTCCAGTAGAGTTGCCCGGCTGCAACTGCCGGGTGTTTCTGAGAAACCGGGCAGGAAAAGATCCAACAACTACTAGAATAATAAGACATTTAACATTTTGTGACATGTTTTTACACTGCCTCCAATTTCATCGCTCAAATTTCTCTATCACCTGCACCGCAGGAAACCTTTGAGCAACAAGGCTCCGGTGCATGGACGAAGCGGCACTGGAGCAGAAAAAGGCTCTTCAAAGGGGCAGAATGGGTGGCAGAAAACGCAGCTAGATGAGACTTGGAAATCTTGGAAGAGATGCGAATTAATGCACTCTCACAGGCTAGCGGGATGGCTAGGGGCTTGAACAACAGAAACTTTGCAGGTGTTTCCGAGGCAGTTTGCTGCTTCCGGTTCAAAGACTGTGCCGTGCTGTTCGTTGTGCGTGTGAAGTTGTGTTGTTTGCTACCTTTTGATCCTTTTGCAGCTGGATATAGCGTTTTGCACACCAAAGGGGTGGGATAGTCTGGATATCTATACTAGCACTCGCAGCCGGCTTCGAAACACGGGCGCTGCAAAGCTAGTTGCCTATTTGTGGTTGCTTCTTGAATCCCAAGGAAGGTATCATCCTTTTGAAGAAATGGAATGATTCGCAGACGTCGTTCAAGTTTCTTATTTGCAAGTCGTAGTAGTTTGGGGGGCTCAAATTAGACCAGGAGAGATTTTGGCATAGTTGACTTGCTTTATGTCCTGAAGTTTACGTGTCATTTTGGCTGTCAATTCGTATTTTCTAGGTTGTCTGTGGGTGTTTGCGTTCTTTGTTGGGGCATGTCCGGATATCTCAAAGTTTCAGCTCTCCCACACTTTGCGATATCTTTGCAATGGCATTTAGTGCAGGCCCCCACAATATAATATAATTGCTGCAACACCGCTTGGAATTCATGATCAAAAGCTCTGTTGCCGATTTCCCTACATTATACCAAATGAGCCAACGGGGCGTTAAGAAGCCGTAGGCCGTAGGCCAGAATGAGCCATCATGAGCCAATCACAGGCATCTCATGAGGATTTGGTAGACCTTGCGGAGACCTTGCAACCTTGCACCGCTCAGGGTCCGCATCAGCAACAAGAAACTGTCGAACATGAAGTTCACATTGAACATCAGTGGTTCCACCAATCTGGACCGTCTCAAGTCTCACTGCACTGGCGCCGTGATTCACAAATTGCAGGTTACAACAACGGTGGGTGTGATAAACAAAAGGCACAAGGTCACAAGGCCCTACAATGGGGCACATGGGCAATATGCTGCAATTCAGTTTCTTCGCGTATCTTCGCGTTAACCCAAAAGATCTCGAAAAATGATCATGGGCAATGTGAAGGCATGAGAAGTTGATGCACCCTTGCCATTCTGAGACCAGCATTTGCTTTGCCGGAAGGAATTTGAACGGCCTGAAGGGAGCAGAGGCACCAATGAGTGCACAGATCTTTGGCCGGCAAGATGTAGAGACATCGATCATTCATTGGGCCAACATGCTGCACAAAACCTCACGGAATGGCTCAGCATTTCTTGCCCCATGCATCCCCATGCCATTTCGGAACAGCATATATAATGATGTTGCATAGTCACACTCACTTACTGTTCTAAAACTGTTAAATAGCATTTATCGCGTGATGTGAGGTGGTGGCAATTAACCATCAACATGGAATCATTCAGAAGCCATCGGCACCATGATCTGCATCACTCTCGAATAAGGTGGTGGCCGCGGCAGCAGCTGACACCGATCTTTGTAAGCTTCGGGAGGCACCAAGTGGCACGGGAAGAGGAGGGCAGCGAACAAAACGATGATCTATTGATGATCAGGAACAGCGCAACCAGTTGAAATCTGTTGAGCATGTAGTCTTGAGTGACTCTTCATGAAAATCCACGAAGTGCCACTACGTGCTCTGTAAAATGCTGTATATAAATGTCTTGGGTTCTTGGGTAACATCCAGGGTGCAAGTTGAATCCTTTCTTCAGAAACCAGAAGCCTCAGAAGATTTCCGCCAGCTGCTATTTGTGGTAGACGACAGGCAGATCGACGGAACTGGTGCCAGGCCACAATACAACATAATACAACTTATAATTACATCATATCAGATGAGATATTATTTAATAATGTAATTAAATGTAATTAATATGTTTGTATATAATTTGAAATGAACATACTAATATGTACATTAAAGTACGCGTACATAGGTAGATGGATGGGTGGATGGATGGATGGATGGGCGGATAGATCGATCGATCGATCGATAGATAAAGATAGATAGATAGATAGATAGACAGATAGATAGATAGATAGATAGAGAGATAGAGAGATAGATAGATAGATAGATAAATAGATAGAGAGATAGAGAGATAGTGAGATAGTGAGAGAGAGAGAGATACAGACATAGATAGATAGATAGATAGATAGAGAGATAGATAGATAGAGAGATAGAGAGATAGAGAGATAGAGAGATAGTGAGATAGTGAGAGAGAGAGAGAGATACAGACATAGATGGATAGAGAGAGAGAGAGAAATGGATAGACAGATAGACAGACAGACAGACAGATAGATAGATTGATAGATAGAGAGAGAGAGAGATAGACAGATAGCTAGCTAGACAGATAGACAGATAGACGTAGACAGAAGACTGGCAGAGTTGATTGGACAGCACGGGGGTTCCCTTCATAGTGCCAACCAGTGCCACTGAGGTAGACACTCACAAATCAACAAGGATGCTTGGCATTCAACTTTGCATTCAACTTGGCACAGATGGCTGAAAGGACAGGAAACCTGGGAAAAAATTGGAAGACATTGGAAAACCATGTCATTTCCGGCTGCTTCAACCTGAGGATCAGCATGTCTTATAGCTGGGAACCGCAGAAGGTCGAGAGAAAGGAACTGGAAAAGGTGACATCTACAGAGCGGAAAAGGCACTGCGTGGGTACGTGGATTTCCGTCAGAAGCAGCCAGTCACCTGCTCCATTGATATCCATATTTCTTTTGGGGACTTCACAATGAGTTATTGTGATTTATTTTGATTTATTTTGATTTAGATTTGCAACCGCTTGTATTTCATCCTCAGCGTGCGGTTGTTCTTGATCGGTATGGTTCAAACTCGGGGTGCCAAATGGTGGTGCCAAATGGACCCACAAAATTGGTCATGACTATGTCCTTCTAAGATACGTTCAGCATTTTTCAGTAATTGCATGGTATAAAACCATCATAAAACCATCATAAACCATCCAAATTTATCCAACACTTGCCTGAGAATTGTGACCCTTGGGTGCCCTTGGGACATCTTGGGACCCGTGCATGGCCCATCAGCCACTGAGCAGCAGGCAGCAGGAACTTGCCTCTGAGCTGAAAGGCCTTGGCATTACCGCCGATCGGATGACGGCTAATGAGATCCAGGAAACGCGGATGTGATGCTCTTGGGCTGGAAAGTGATGATTTTTGAGACATGACATTTCAATGATATGGCCATTGATGAATGTACAGGATGTTCATGGATTTTCCATGTTCTAAAAATCTTCTTTAAGAGATATTTGGAGACTACTTTAACGTACTTTGGTCCCACTTCGTGTCATCTTCTTGATATCACCCATTCGCACACCCAGCCGACCCATATTTCGATCATGTTGGATCAGCTGTTGATCTCGATTTCAACACGAACCACAGGTACATTTTGTTTTCTATTTGTTCGCTGCCAGGATGCTTGCTCTAGGGCTGGCATCTCAAAGATACTTGACTGCTTTGGCATGATCATCATGGCACCATGGGTTGTTTGAAGCAATGACCATGGGGATGTAGATAGATAGATAGATAGATCGATCGATCGATCGATAGATAGATAGATAGATGGATAGAGTTATGATTATATAATATGTATATATATATATCAAACACGGACAAGAGGGAGATCACATGAAATGTCATGAAATCAACCAACAAGTGAACCTAGCCGGTGAATTATCGAATACCATCCTGGGTTGTGATATAGTTTCTTATCTTGTGATCAGTCAGCAGGCCGTCCTCTGCCCGCACTCTTGCGAATGGAAGATTAGATCCCACCAGAGCGATGGAAACAGAAGGGTTTCAGGCCCACCCTTTTCACAGCGGTCCCCAACTCTGATCATTTTCTGTGCATCTTCCAGCTGGATTCAACTGGATTGGCCAAAAAGACCTCGCAACAAGATCGCAAGGTTCATCGACGCAGATTTCATGCCCAGGGAGACTTCGTTGTTCGAGAAATCTGGCAGTGATGCGCCTGTGGTCTGGAAACGTCCAGAAGACTACTGCAAAGGCTGCAGGGCAAGCAGTTGGTGGGTCGGTTTGTCGTTTCACATCGTTTTCGATTAAATATGGCTTTGAAACTTATTAATTATTCCACATTATTCCAATTCATACCATGATTTGGGGAGATGGAGATCCCACTCTGGGGTTCAACAAACTACCAGAGTTTTGACCAATAGCGACCTGATCAAACAAGATCGGTGAGGCAGCGCTGCACCAAGGCCGTGTCAACATTTTCTCCAATGATATTTTACCATCCGACATCAAGCAGGGTGCTTTGGGCGACTGTTGGTTTCTGGCGGCGCTGGCAGCATTGGCAGAGGAACCTGACCTAATTCGTCGATTATTCGGTGATTCCAAAGCGAACAAACATGGCGTTTACGAAGCTTGGCTAGTCAAATGGGCCAGCGCGACGCCCGTTAGAGGGCATTTCCATTTCCCATTGAAGTCAGATTTCCCGCAAGTTCATTGTCCCATCCTCCTGAAACCAGGATTGAATGGGCCTGAAACATCTGAAAAAGCCGATCCCCAATGAGACCTTCATTTCCAGCATGGACCTGTGCCAAGGAGATCAAATGCTTCAAGAACGGGCGACCAACATCCATTATCCTGGATGACTTCCTACCTTGTTCTCCCAACACCGGTCTGCCGTGCTATGCCCATGTTGATGTTGAAGGCGCAAGCGTCCAAAAGCGTCCAAGTTTCGGGGGCAGGTTGGGAGCAGCAAGATTGGACAAGACTGGCAATGAGGGCGAGCTCCAGGATTTCTATGGATTTCTGCATCTTTGTGAATGGAACTGCTGGTTTTTTAGTTTTAGTATGTGTTAGTTATTTCAGTCTCTATGGCTGAATCTTGCCATCCCCTGCCCACGGAAAGCTGGGAGGCCAGAATCGAAACGAACTTTGGGTCATGCTCTTGGAAAAAGCCTGGGCCACTTGATGAGACTTAGGAATCTTGGAGTATTGGGGTGGATGAGGTCTCAGAACTGGCCATTTGGGCCCGGAATAACCAATGGGTGCCACTGGCAGTTCAGTTTTGATTTCTGTTGTTTTGATATTTTTGCTCAAGTTGATCCATGTGCACAGCTGCAGAGCCGTGCGCTCCGTGCAACATCCTGTTGCCCCAGGGGCCTTACGGGATTGGCCAAGGCAAAGCTGCATGGCTCTTACGAAAAGATTGAAGGTGGTCAGCCGTAACTTGACTCAGTGGGGCCTGGGGAATGCCTCGGACATCGCGGAGACATCGGGACATGTTCACGGCGTGAGCTTTGTAGTACTGTTCTGCAGAGTTGCATGCCCCAAGCAGGCAATGGCTGCACCGTGGTGGATGTCACCAGACTTGACAATACTGTTGACAATACTTGACATACATGTCGATATCTCTCGATTCTGTAGTCATCCAGTCCGAAAATCGTCTAGGACGTTTGAACTAGGCACGCTGCTGGCAAATCTTGGGGCCTCAGCAATACTCGGCAAAGGTCTAGTCTTGAACGTCTCAAGTTCCGGATGAAATGTACGGGGTTGGATGGCGGCAAGTGACACTTCTGGACTTGTTCTTTCGTCTACAGGTATCGTGCACTGATGGATCTGCTGGGAGTCGCGGGCAAAGAGTCTCTCGGCTGATTTGTTCTGCCCAGTACAGGCTGTGGCACAAACCTGGGCAGAATAGAAAAAGGATCAAGGATCATCAAAGATTGATAAATATTGATTCCGTCGGCAAGCGCATCAAGTGGTCTACTATGTCTACTGAGTCTACTGTGTGTGACTTTGCCCCATGGACATTGTAGGGTTATCGCTGTGGCGTGGTGCCAGCCGGAGAGGTATGACCTGAAGGAGGAGCAGAAGTCAGATGGCCTCGTCTCGAAGGGAAAGTTTTTTTCCATGCTGTTGCATGGTGAAATTTGGCGTGGCTGTATAGGGCCCATTGAAAAAATGGGTGCCCTAAAGTCCTTGTGGGTTTTAATTTGATTTGCTTGAGGCTTCGTGCGCAAAATTGCATTGCTTATAGTAAATATGGCTTTATAGTTACACTTTTTGATCCTTTTCTTGACGTGTTTGACAAACTATCGATTGGAAAATAATGCTTGAGTATATGTTGTGAAGTGCATGCGCACGTTGTGGGCAATATCGCCTTTTGTATCCTTTTGCTGTTGAACGTTCGCGCACTTGGGCCTGGCTCAGGTGCAAATATGACCAGGCAGGCTATGTGATGGTGGCTGGCACTCGCGGCGAGGACACGTTCACCAAAGGCCCCGTGGCTTCTTATCTTGGCGGGTTCATCTCACATCAACCCAGCAAGTCTGACCCTTGCATGGTACTTCGTACATTCTATGCTGCAACTATGGAATGCATTGGAGTGCCCATGTCCAACGGAGCAGTCCACACTGACTTGACAAAAAAGTTCCATGAAGGTGGTTGATGGATGGAGGTCAGGATAGGGTAGAGCCACGTAGAGCCGGTAGAGCTTCCTCTCGCTGAGGCGACAAGTCGGAGGTCCCGTCCATTGTCCCTGGTCACGCGTATACACTGCTCTCCGCGTGCGAAGCCAACGGCGTGAAATTGCTAAGACTCCGAAACCCATGGGGCGACCATGAGTGGACGGGTGATTGGAGCGACAAGAGCAACTTGAATGAACTCCAAAGATAGATACAGTATTAATACAGTATGGGATAGTATGGGATAGTATGGGTCAAGATTGGGTACATCAAAGGAGCAGGGCGTGGTGGGTAGGGACCCAGGGAGGGGGGCATTCACAAATCAGATGGCTATCTCGACAGATGACCGGGAAAGCGCATCGCATCCTGGGTGTCTTTCTGGGCCCGGTTGCCCAGGCAAACTGTGGACGAAGGCTATGAAGGATGCGGTGGAGCCCAAGCCCACCTTGGATGAAAATGACGGGGAGTTCTGGATGTGCTATAAGGACTTCTTGAGACTCAGAAACTGAGGATTTCTAGGATTTTGAGGGACAATCTGGTGGGGCCTGGAAGAGGGCCGTGACCCTGGTGATTCCAAATGGCAGTTCAAATTCATGCTGGACAAAAAGAAACGAACAGAAACTTTGTTCATCATTGTTCAATAAAATCATATCCGCCCCTAATATTAAACCATGTTAAACTGCTTCCCCCCAATAACTATTCAAATTCAAACATTTTAGGGTGACTTAGGATGTATTTCGTACTGGTATTAGAGGGTTTTCGTTTACGTCGCTGGTTGTAAACCGCGCAGGGATCCAATCACATTGTCTTGTATTTGACTAATTGACACCACCAAGGAACATGTCTTTTATGTGGCTTCATGTGGCTTCTGATATCTTCTGATTAAATGATATTAAATGTGCATTTGTATAATTATAAGGTACGGTACTAATTATAAGATACTATAAGTATATATACGTTGATATATTGATTCTGCTAGCATGATTTAGATACATGTAAATGTACACATCAATGGGTGTTTTCCATACTGGATTTACCTTGGACCTGTTGAGTACCACTGCCTTGGTTCATATTTATGCTGACACTTTTATCATTGACTTTTGGGAATGCTATTGCACTTAGGCATTGATTACTGAGGGATCTGAGGGTGGGGTCTCGGGCAGCGCTTGTGGTTGTGACTTCTTGGGGATGGTCGAATGCCTTACTGCTTGGGATCTCCAGGGAAATGTTGGCCGAAGTTAGAACGCCAGCATGTCGATCATGATTGCACATGATTGTACCATATCTATCCATATCTCGTATGTAGTTGTAGTATGTTGTAGTGACCTCGACGTCGCTGTAAACCATCCCATTGGTTCACTGGGAAATACACCACGTTATGATTGAGAAATATTGAGAATCATTGGGGAAAAAAATCAGGGCTTCGAGTAAACTCAAGCCAACCCGTTGAATCCCATTGAAATCAGGAAGTACTTTGACTCGGTGGGAGTGGCGTTCGTCAACGATTCCTGGTCCACCTTTCGTAGCACGTTCTCCACGGACGGGACAGATATGAACCTCGGACTGCGAGTCAAAATGCATACAGATGCGCTGTATCAAGTAGTGGTAATGTGGTAAGCCCATAAACCATCATAAAACTCCATATCAGCTACTTTTGAATTGTTTGTGGTACCTGGTAAAATTGGAGGTGATTTGGGTCTACTACATTGGGACCTAAAGGTAAATTTCTTCGAGGAAAAGATTCGGAGCACGTTGGAGCTGTCATTGCTCAGCCCATTTTGTCGCACATGTATTTGCAATCAATTGAAATCACAGGTGCGCTGGGAAAGAATTATGAAATACCAGCAGCAGTGTCTGTAGTTGATGATGTATTGTTGGCTAATGGGCAAAGATCACAAAGATATGCCAATGTATTCGGGGCATTTTTCAGGCTATTGATATCTATTGATGGCCGGAGAAAACCCTCGCCGTGCGAGGTGTAGAGAGGTGGTGTCTATCCGCAGCTCCTCACCTATCAGGAAGGGCTTCATTACCCTTTTCCAGCAGGACAAAAAACTGCCAGGCGGGGGAGACCACTAGACCATGGAAACATTGGAAACCGTTGTGGCAACTGTGGCAACCAGTTTCCACTGAGTCAGGTGCTCCTTCTTATACAAAGCTACATGGCTGCACTCAGAGCAACTTCATACAAGTTCTTCATAGTTCGAAGCGCAAGAGACGCGAGGATTAGGGATCCACCGGGCTTCCACGAGGGCCAACATCTGCCAGTGGTGATGGTGTTTGGTGATGCGGCCTGAGGATGTCCTTCGCACTCTATGAGCCAGTGGAGAACGGAAAACCCGAAGCGGAAGTTCTTCGCAGCCAGACCTGGGGTGTTCGAGAGCTGGTGGAGGCCGGCTGGGCCATGCTTGATGCATAAGATGCGTCAGATACCCGGTGAAATTTGGTGAAATATTGGGTCAAAGATGCGGGCCTTTGGCTTCGCCCAATTCTTTTCATGGTGTCATATGGTGTCCAGAGAATGTCCAGAGAATATTGACAAGGTCCCACGTATGGAGCGATTGTCGTAACCAGATGCAGGCCGCAGGTTGCCTGTCAGCTCGGCAGCCATCATTGGTGCCAGGAAATTCCCCGCAATAAAAGAAAGGGACTACCAGCAGGAGTTCCTTGTCCAAATTGAGTCAAGTTGCTGGGATGCTGCTATGTCGCACAGCTGAAAACTCCCCCGCGGACACAGCATGGGACTTTGTGCCATGAATAGCTGGTCGTACTTGCACAGTCTTGATACCAAGCTTCTGTGCCAAGCTCTGGGTCAACTTGATTTTTACACGTAGCGCAGCATCCATATCATCGGAGCGTATGTGCAAGGAATATTTGGTGGCAATATTCACTCCCGACAAGGCATAGTTGACGGGCTTTGTATTACCCATATTAAGCCATGCAGTCATTTGAGTGACGGAAACTGCATGGCACTACAATTTTCCATGAAGACACTCTTGTGAAAAGAGAAGATGCTGGCTCATTTCTAGAAAGTGGATTGACGATTGCAACTGACCAGAAGGCACCACTTCAAACGCAAAAGATGTAGCAGAAGCATGCAGAAGCCCAGTGAAAGTCGCCATCCTTTTTTTGAGGCATCCGCTAGGTCAATTAGTTGCTGATGAAGGCCATGTCGCATGGTAACTTTTCAGCGCCAGGTGTCTGACCGTCCTTTGTCTCTGGTGTTGCAGCTTGATGTCAAAGGGCACTGCAAGGCTGGGCTGCGTTTCACCGGGACGCAACAAGGACATCTGCTGAGGGTGATCTGAGTGAAGTCTTATGTCACTTATGTATACTTATGTCATATATCATATGTCCCTTTCTCATCCTTTTTCGGGATGCTAATTTCTCATGGTATACCCTCTGGTAATTTAACATAGCTATGGAAAATCACCATTTTCAATGGGAAAATCCACTATAAATGGTCATTTTCAATAGCTATGTTAGTTTACCAGAGGGTATATGTTGAACAATCTTGACCAAATCGTTTCAGACATCGACTTGGATGACTTGGAGGTCTCCCGGTCTCTTGTGGCGATCGCAGGTGACCCAGAAAGACGTGGACGATGAGATGCGAAAAAGCCTGGCATTGGCAAGTGCTTTAAAAGGCGTTTCAAGAGTGGCTTGTAATATCATGTAATATCCCATAATATCCCTAAAGATGTTGCAAATGGGATGATATTGGGATGATGATTCTAACTGCTGGATAGTGTTGGAATCTTTGCGGGATGGTAGCCGCCACCAGATACGGTACAATATGGTGCAATGGAGCACCATCGGCACATGCGTCACCGCCTCTGATCGAGGCTTTAGGATGTGGAGATCACTTCGCAGTTCCCCATGTGACCAAATTTTGTCGATGTTGTTCGGCCTTTGGGAGACTTTCCAAATCTTTCCAATACTTTCCACTTCGAACAAGATTTTGGGGCGCGGACATTCTGCAATGGTGGATGTTTACATCAAAAAACATTAAAAAAAACATGCCCTACATCGTCCTGGAATAGGCCAAGAGAAGCCCATTGGTCCCGCCAAGACTCGGGGAGCTTCGCTGCCCGATGGTGGTTGCTTGACCGAGGATACCGGGATGGGTGAGAAACGGTGAGAAGATGTGATAAGATGCCCATTAAAAGCATGGTGATTATGGTGATCAGATAAATGAAGGCTCAGTATTTTTCGATCAACCCAAAATATCCTCCCCCCAAAAAGGCCTTCAGTGCGACTCCATAAAAATTAAAGGATCACTCTTCTGCTGTATCTCCTTTCTGTAGCTTCTTGCAAGTGGCAAGGGCTCGTAATGTCTCTTACTGTACTTACTATTTACCAACGCCGCGATTGAATAGGAAGGTTACTCATACCATAGTGAGCATCGGAGTAGGATCTCCAGCCTTGGATCTATCCCATTGAATGCCGAAGATGGACTTGTTGGGCGTTGGCTGAGGTTATGCCTTCGCGGCATCGTGCGCTGATCAAAGCAAACCTATTGCACCTAGGCCCCAAACAGGTGAAGACTGGGGTTCTTTTTCTCCGAAGGAGACTCTGCAATGCCTTTTGTTCTTTGCAAATCCTGCATTCCACGGGAACTGAGGCCATGTCTTTTGCCTCTTGGCTGGGTTGCCTTTGGGGGGCTGAGGGGTCGTCGGAGAAGATTGGGCCTCCAAAATCACATTGTGGCTTCTGGGGTATGATGCCATGCAAATGGACCTGAAGGCTGTCAAAGCCTCAGAAAATGTCATGACTTTGAAGAGAGGGGCTGGCAAGATACATGATACATTTGCCATGAGTATCTGCGAGGATCTGTGAGCGTGACATGCAGTGGAACCAGATTTCTGCTCCCAGAGATGGGTAAACCTGGAGAAAGTTCCATTTTCACATCGCTGTTGGTATATTCCCCCTCCTAGAAGGCAAAAACAGCTGGTGTCCGATCTAAAGAATTGCCCCTGAAAACACCATTGTGATCCATTGTGCAGATCTTTAAAATGTTGGCATATTTTGGCTGGTTTTCACATAAGTTACACAGAAACAGAGGGAGAGGGTTACGCAGACGAATCTGAGGATTTCACGCCCTGCAAGGGGCTAGCCCCCAGGGGTCACAGGACAAAGGTTGATGTGATCTTCGACCCAAAGGAGCCGCACTGGACAGATGTTGCGAGAACATGCGATGACCAATCTCATGTCTATACCCTATACCAAGACAAGGGCCAGAAACCAACATATTTTTTGATCTATATTAAAAAAAACACAGCAAAATCTGTGATTTACAACAGGCTGCGGCAATCATGATTTCTGCACTGCAGTGGCATCACGGAACATTCTTGCAACTGTGGGAAAATCCTGTTCTGCATTTGAAAGGACCCTGAAGGAATGAGACTAATTGGCAGCTTATTTGCAGCAGGGATTTGCAGTGGCCCAACGCTTGACTGGTTGAATGGTGGGTGTAGTGCAATCTGGCTTTATCAGGATCATCACAGTCCCATGGTGAGAATCCACATTGAACCAATCAGTGTAACCAATCCACGAAAGTTTCCAAGCCTGCCCACACGTCAAGTACATCTATCATAATCAATACAAATCAATGCAAACAGGTGTAGAGGAGTAGCTGGTTGCCTCGTTTGAGTGCCCCTCCCAGTTGCTGAGACCCTTGGGATGTTCTATTTAGTTCCATCCAGTTCCCCCAGTTTGGCCTTGAAGGTTTTCCTTGCTGGTGGGGAAATGTGGCTGAGGTCACTTGCAGCCGACTGGGAACAAGCAGATGTTTTCGGTGTCTACTTCGTATCGGGTCTGGAACTAAATTCAAGATATTCCTGAACGAAGAGTGTTCTGCTTTGTGAATATCGAGTCAGCCTCTTGATGCCCTGGCAACTGGGTGGTCCTTTGCCAAACCCAAATCCTTGTGAGATGCTGCATTTGGATGCATTTGTCAGTACTTCTGGAGGTTCAAATTCCAACGATTTCAAGGGTTTCAACGTACAGTAGATGTTGGCAAAAGTTCAGCAGACGTCAAAAGGACACAGTGCAGCGCCGCCAGGCGTGAAACACTAGCGTGGCTGCGGCAAACTGGCCGGCAGCATTCCCTTTCAATTGCGCTTGGTCTATGCAGGCGGAAAAGATTGAAACTGATTGAAACTTTAATGCAACATACAGCATGATTTGCCTTTAGATCCGCAACAGGGAAAATTGCCAACGTGCAAGTGTGAAGGATATGTCTACCTGCACCAAGAGTCAGGCATTGGGCCTAGGGGGTTGTATCTTTCGCGGTCGAGAGATCAGCTGCGTGTTTTTCTGTTTTTCGGAAGGCCTTGTTTGCAACTTTCGCTGCTGCTACAACGCCGGTGCCCGTGATGCCGTCGACGCCGTCGAACCATGCTGTGCAGGACTACGCTGTAGAACTTTTCCTTGTAACATACTTTGCCGTCATCTCATGAGCCAAGCTCTGAGTTTGATGCAGATGGTGAGCTGATGCTTCCGTTCTCGGCCTAATTTTCGCTTTGGGTGCGTTTTCTCCCTTTTAGTGTGGTGGCCACTAGTGAGAAGCAGAAGTCCCGTGCGTACTTTCAGCCAAAAGATGCAAGGAAGAACACTGCAACTGGGTGGGCGCGCTGACACAAAGGCAGTCTCATTATGGGTGTGTCCATGTTTTCGGGTCGTGATGGTCCTTGCATGTCCTTGCCAGTCTCACTTTCCACTTCTGGGGAGCGGTGGCCCTCAAACCATGCGAAAGGGAGGGGATCACAAGGCTTGAACCGTGGCTTTTAGGTTGTAAGGAACGCAGGTAGCGCTTTGCATATGCCTACAGCGAGTAATGGCAGCCTTTTCCAGCAAAGCCGCAATGCTGTAAGCACGGGGAGTTCTACTGCTGCGGCTTATCAGATCTTTTGGGCGGGATACATGCGCTTGCTTGGGTTGAGAGTCATAAGTCATAACATTCGGTCAGTACAATAGCATAAGAATGTAAGAATGTATAAGATAGTATAGGTTTTCGACAACTTGGCCTTGTTGATTGATTTATTTGAGGCACGTGGGTATACATAGGTATATATATATACTGGTATACTGTAAGTTGGCGGATTGGGAAGCAAACTCTGGATCAAGATTGCCAAGGTGCCAAGGCGTAGACTTGGATAGTGAGATGAGGCAAAGTACCGTCGGAATAATGTTTGAATAAAGATGCAAAAAGAAGATCCACTGAGAAAAAAACATCACTCTTCAGTCTCACTTCTCTTCATACATTGTTGTCATCCATTTATCGTCAATTTTTCATGCATCACCCATCATCATCCATAATGCATTCACAGCTCTCTCACATCACCCAATTCTACGATAGTCTCCACTCCCCAAGACAGTAGCGAATTGAGTCCCCAGACATTCGAATCATTCGAGTTTTCATGCCGCCCTTTGGACCGTCGAGCTCGAGTCCAACATACTACGGTGGATGTGGTTCTCGCGGCCCTGGACGCATTCCTCGTTCTGATTTGCTGGTCGTCGGGAACGATGCTCCACGAGCTTCTCGGAAATCTGGACCGAAGCGACCGGCTGCAGAGGCCTGGGACATCCTGGGACTTGTGGTTTGGCAGGGCCTGGGTGGGAGGATGTGGGAGCTTGCTGATCTTGTTGCTAGGTACTTCTGTGTGCATGGATTGTGCATGGTATTGAAAGAAATCTGGAACCAAAATCACATCATCGCTTGTAGGAGGGGTGCACGCAGGATATCCTCCCAATGTAAACTTGTTGCCCGCAACCTTGAAATCCAGGCGCGATGCCGCTGCGGTACGACCTACACTGCAGATTCGGCCTTTTGCCGCGTTTGCGGTGAAAAGAGGCCATCAGTTCCATCAGTTCCACCTCGAGGGCCAAATGGGCAACGCACAGCCACTCCGCCCAGATCTGTGAGCCCTGGAGCACGCTCATGGCGCTCAAAACCAACCACTCGGCCAGAGTCAGCACCATCAGCACCATCAGCACCTTCCCATTTCAGTTGTCGCAATGGAATTTCCTTGTTGCAGCGTTTGAGATTTGGATTAATTTTATGTCTTCGTACTGCACGCTCATATTTTCTGTGCTTGAAGGTCTTGAAAACTAGCCAGAAGGATTTGACTGACCATCACCACTCACCACCCCTATATTGTTCTTAAGTCTTCGAATGTCTTCGATGTTCTTTGGTGAGTTTGGTCAGGTACAAAGAGATTATTTGCCGGAGGTGATTCAAGGCCTACTTGCAGAGCACCAGGAGACTGAGCGAAGGCGACCTGCCGCCCTCACTCCCGAGAAAGTTCTCGCAAACCTGCGCCGCTTGAGGTTGCGATCGGGCGTGAGGGTTCATGATATACAGGATCTGATCCGGCAGCAACGTGATGGAAAACTGACCGTGGCGGAGTTTCGAAGCTTGTTGCGCGAGGTGGTATGCTCAGAGATTTGAGATGATGAAAGACACGGTTTTTGTATGGTTTTGTGGGTTTCCAATGGCATGGTGATCAAAGCATTTCACAACGGAAGTCATCAAAGGAAGTTTAGGGGGAGAAACTTCCGTGTTACGGACTTTTAGAATGTCAGGGAAAGAGTTAGTCAAAGAAAGAGTTAGTCAGGGAAAGGTTAGTTAGGGAAAGAGTTCATCAGGGAAAGAGTTAGTCAAAGAAAGAGTTAGTGAGGGAAAGAGTTAGTTAGGGAAAGAGTTCATCAGGGAAACAGTTAGTCAAAGAAAGAGTTAGTGAGGGAAAGAGTTAGTTAGGGAAAGAGTTCATCAGGGAAAGATTTAGTCAAAGAAAGAGTTAGTGAGGGAAAGAGTTAGTTAGGGACAGAGTTAATTGTAACTTTTAGACTGTCAGGGAAAGAGCTAGTCAAAGGAAGAGTTAGTGAGGGAAAGAGTGAGTTAGGGACAGAGTTAATTGTAACTTTTAGAATGTCAGGGAAAGAGTTAGTCAAAGAAAGAGTTAGAATGGCATTGCAAGTGGTGCTGGTGGAGGAGTTGCCGATGGAGTTTTGAAGGAAGTCTCGCACGAAATGCGTTTTTGAGAGATAGCAGATGCACGAAACCCTATGTTTTTCCATACAAAGTCCGTCCCCGAACCTCGATGATCTACCTCTGCGGTGCGACGGTTGCGAGACGGTCTCGTGTGTGGTCGGATCATGGGCGGATCATGTTCGGATCATGGTCGGATCGGTTCCGCATTGTAAATGGGGTTTCACCTGTTTTTCGTGCATGTGCGGTCGACAGAATTCCATTGTGATTTGCAACTGTAGGATCGTTCCCGCAATGCAAATGGGATTGCAAGTGGTGCTGGTGGATGAGTTGCCGATGGAATTCCATTGTGATTTGCAACTGTAGGATCGTTCCCGCAATGCAAATGGCATTGCAAGTGGTGCTGGTGGAGGAGTTGCCGATGGAGTTTTGAAGGAAGTCTCGCACGAAATGCGTTTTTGAGAGATAGCAGATGCACGAAACCCTATGTTTTTCCATACAAAGTCCGTCCCCGAACCTCGATGATCTACCTCTGCGGTGCGACGGTTGCGAGACGGTCTCGTGTGTGGTCGGATCATGGGCGGATCATGGGCGGATCATGTTCGGATCGGTTCCGCATTGTAAATGGGGTTTCACCTGTTTTTCGTGCATGTGCGGTCGACAGAATTCCATTGTGATTTGCAACTGTAGGATCGTTCCCGCAATGCAAATGGGATTGCAAGTGGTGCTGGTGGATGAGTTGCCAATGGAATTCCATTGTGCTTTGCAACTGTAGGATCGTTCCCGCAATGCAAATGGCATTGCAAGTGGTGCTGGTGGAGGAGTTGCCGATGGAGTTTTGAAGGAAGTCTCGCACAAAATGCGTTTTTGAGAGATAGCAGACGCACGAAACCCTATGTTTTTCCATACAAAGTCCGTCCCCGAACCTCGATGATCTACCTCTGCGGTGCGACGGTTGCGAGACGGTCTCGTGTGTGGTCGGATCATGCTCGGATCATGGGCGGATCATTCTCGGATCGGTTCGCATTGTAAATGTGGTTTCAACTGTGTTTCGTGCATGTGCAGTCGACAGAATTCCATTGTGATTTGCACCTGTAGGATCGTTCCCGCAATGTAAATGGGATTGCAAGTGGTGCTGGTGGATGAGTTGCCGATGGAATTCCATTGTGCTTTGCAACTGTAGGATCGTTCCCGCAATGTAAATGGGATTGCGGTTTGCAGCTCAGTCTTTGGAGCTGCAATTTCCGACGCCGTTGCGCGTAGTTCTATTGTGTTTTGCAACTCAGTCTCTGCAGATCGCATTGTAATGGCTGCGTCAAGGTTGCTTCGTGCTGTGGCTGCATTCGTAATACTAGTGTCTTTTGCAGCTGGATTCGTAATACGTAAATCGTATTGGAGTGGCTGCATGAAGGCTGCGACAGTGATGTGTGAGCAGATTTTCTCCATTTTGGCACTAATGATTTTCCTTCTAAAAATCCTTTTAAAAAGTGCTTCAAAATCGTCTTTTTTTCGCTCTGGCGTCGAGATCCGGTTTTGGAGCTACAATTTCCGACGCCGTTGCGCGTAGTTCTATAGTGTTTTGCAACTCAGTCTCTGCAGATCGCATTGTAATGGCTGCGTCAAGGTTGCTTCGTGCTGTGGCTGCATTTGTAATACTATTGTCTTTTGCAGCTGGATCTCGTAAATCGTATTGGAGTGGCTGCATGAAGGCTGCGACAGTGATTTGTCAGCAGTTTTTCTCCATTTTGGCGCTAGTGATTTTCCTTCTAAAAATCCTTTTAAAAAGTGCTTCAAAATCGTCTTTTTTTCGCTCTGGCGTCGAGATCCGGTTTTGGAGCTACAATTTTCCGACGCCGTTGCACGTAGTTCTATTGTGTTTTGCAACTCAATCTCCGCAGATCGCATTGTAATAGCTGCGTCAAGGTTGCTTCATGCTGAGGCTGCATGCGTAATACTATTGTCTTTTGCAGCTGGACTTCGTAAATCGTATTGGAGTGGCTGCATGAAGGCTGCCACAGTGATTTGTCAGCAGATTTTCTCCATTTTGGCACTAGTGTTTTTTTGTTGCACGTAGGTTTAGAGCAGTGTGAAGTGTGGGGCGTAAAGAGTGCAGTGTGAAGTGTGAAGTGTGAAGGAAGCAGTGGGAAGTGAGAAGTGTGAAGTGTGGAGTGTGAAGTGTGCAGTGTGGAGTGTGAAGTTTAAGTTTGGAGTGCGAAGAGCGCAGTGTGAAGTGTGAAGTGTGAGGTTTGGAGTGTGAAGGAAGCAGTGAGAAGTGAGAAGTGTGGAGTGTGAAGTGTGAAGTGTGGAGTGTGAAGTTTGTTTGGAGTGCGAAGAGTGCAGTGTGCAGTGTGAGGTGTGGAGTGTCGAGGGAAGGACACGGTCGGGACAGGTTGTCTTTGAACTATAGGTCATTTATGTTTGGGAAACTTCCGCCGCCGGCTTGCCCGGGTCTATGTTATACGACCTTACAATGCCTTACAATGCCTTACATATATTATCATATTAAGTCATGTTCCTAGCATTCAGGTGTTGTTTAATTACATTCAGGTGTTACGTTTGCGGTTTGACTCAGACGCAAGGCAGCTGCACCCACTTTTTTCGTTGATTTTTGCAACACAGTCATGCTCTGGATTTTGCATTCTACGGTTTGCAAGGCTGAACTAAGGTGCAGCATGTACAATGCAATCTTCAATCAAATGGATGTTTATAATTGTTCATAGGTATATGTATAGGTTATATTGCATTGGTACTGTGTGCCTGTGCAAAGATTCGAATAGTTGTGCTGCATGATATTGTGCTGCAATGATGATGTTGGACTGTTTGCCATTGTCACTGACATGCTCATACCGCAACACTTGCAAACAGTGACCCTTATCATGCAACATAAACCCATAGAAAGATCGACTAACATGGCTTCCATGGCCAAAAAATATCAAACTCAAGCTTGGCTGAAAACCCGTTATTGGCAGCGCATGACTTCAAAGCATGTTCATGCAGGGCGTCCCGGCGTCCCGGCACCCGTGATGATAAAACGCAACCCAATCTTTCACCATCTTTGGCGCAGTGAACAATACAGAGCATTCGCCTTTTTCATTAGTCACTCAAAATCAGACATTCATTACCAGCACATAATTCGGGTTGCTGCAGGTTTGCTTGCATTGAAATCATGTTCCTGCTGCTGTTGTCCCCTGCCATTCAGGTTGCGGCTATTTCTTGAGCCGATTTGCAAGTGTTTTACTGTGAAGGTTGTGTCGTTTTTGGAAAACGGCCGGTGTGTATCCCAAAATATCATTTTGCCAAACTATCATTTTGCCAGAATGTTATTTTGCCAGAATATCATGCTGCCAAAATAGTGTGTTGCCAAAATATCAAAACAGAGTTTTCCCAAATATCAAGTTGCCAAAAGTTTGTTATTTGCTGCAATTCAGGATCATCCTTCGTGGGCTCCACCAAGTCACTTCTCAAAGACGATGGTTCCACTGGAACCATCACCCCCTGTAAGCGTGCCAGGCATCAGCTTGACCCAGTGGATCTCCAAGAAGATTCCAAAGATTGCAAAAACTGAATAAAGAGCCGTCCGAAGCTAACAAAGGACGATGGTTCCAGTGGAACCATCACCCTAGGCCCAGATTGGTATTTGCGAAATGTTCGGTTAGCTATCACAGGGGACGACGGTTCCACTGGAACCATCACCCCCAGTGATTGTACAAAATGTGGTGTTTGGGGACGACCTATTTTGCAAACTTTTTGGCCCATCAATTTGCGAACAAATTGTGGCAAACTGATATTTGGGAAAACTCAGTTTTGATATTTTGGCAACACAATATTTTGGCAGCATGATATTCTGGCAAAAAAACATTCTGGCAAAATGATAGTTTGGCAAAATGATATTTGGGGATGCACACCGGCCGTTTTCCAAAAACGACACAACCTTCACAGTAAAACACTTGCAAATCGGCTCAAGAAATAGCCGCAATCTGAATGGCAGGGGACAACAGCAGCAGGAACATGATTTCAACACACGCAAACCTGCAGGAACCCGAAGTATGTGCTGGTAATGAATGTCTAATTTTGATTGACTAATGAAAAAGGCGAATGCGCTGTATTGTTCACTGCGCCAAAGATGGTGAAAGATTGGGTTGCGTTTTATCATCACGGGTGCCGGGACGCCGGGACGCCCTGCATGAACATGTTTTGACGTCATGCGCTGCCAATAACGGTTTTTCAGCCAAGCTTGAATTTGAGATTTTTTGTTATTTAAACCATGTCTGTCAATCTTTCTATCGCTTTATGTTGCGTGCATTGTTTGCAAGTGTTGCGGTTTGAGCGTGGCAATGCCAATAGCAAACAATCCAACACCATCATTGCAGCGCAATTATCTCAATCATTACACAAACACACAGTACCAACCGAAAATAATATATATCAGCGGCATCTATTTGATTGAAAATTACTTTTTACATACTTCACCTTTGTCTAGTTTTTCAAACTGTAGAAGTGCAAAATCCAAAACATGACTGCGTGCAGTTGCCCTGCTGCAAACATGACACCTGAACGGCCTGAACGCAGTGAGACAACACTTGAATGCTAGGAGAAATAATTGCGAAAGCCAGCTGTCAAGCATGGCTGAAAACATGGACCATTTTGAGGCACTTCCCCACCTAATTGGCGTGGCCTTAGGAGAAATAATTGCGAAAGCCAGCTGTCAAGCATGGCTGAAAACATGGACCATTTTGAGGCACTTCCCCACCTAATTGGCGTGGCCTCCGTGGTCGATTTTGAGCGATCTTGAGGCTGATGTACCAGGTGGCAATTGGGTGACGGTGGGGTTCGATTCCCCCCTGGTCCGCCCTCCGACGTGCACTTGGGGAGACTGGAATGGAGGGTAAAATGATGGAGAAATCGAGTAAAGCCATGGAAAAACAATGGAAAAGTTGAGGGAATGGAAGGAGAAATTAATCGTACGGATTGGAGTTCCAGGGCGAGGTGTGTGATGGGGCGAGAAGGTTGGAGGGAAGAAAGAGCGTGGCTTGGGCGGGCCTTTTGGGGTGAGGCTCTTTTAGGTGGCTGCTGGGAAGCAAAGGAACCCGCAGGGTGAAGGTTGCAGATGGCTGCTGATGCCTGGGGGTGGGAGGAGGGAGGTGCGTGGCCAGGGGTGCATGTGGTTGGAATGGTTGCTGCCCCATCCAAATTGCTCACCACCGAACATCGTCCTTGTCACCATGGCGAGCTCCTTCCCACAGCCTCCTCCCACCAGCTCCCTGCATCCCACCCGCCTTCACTGCATTTTCCAGACACCCCACAGAGATTCATTCTCCACAGGCGCCCCTAACCCATTCCTGCTTCCCTCCCTTGCCGCCGACACCTCCTCTCCCCTTCCGGGCTCCTTTGCGCCCCAAAACCTCTTTAAAAGAGCCCGCCATTCCACTTCCTCAAACACGCTCTTCACCCTTTCCCTACCGTTACTACACTTCTTTCCCCCGCTTCTTCTTCCTACACATTCTTTCCTTCTCTCCAAAGACACCCCACGGGCGCACCCAAACCAGGCCTCACCATGCCGGCTCCTCAGCCTCCCAAACGATGCCTCAACTAACCCCCAACCGCAATCCCTGCCATGCTCTCCACTCTCCTGTCTCCGTTCCAACTAGTCCCTGGCTTTCGTCCCCTCCTGTCAGGTATTAAATATGTATTGATATGTAATGTATCTGTACATTCGGTTGCATGTATGTAATCTAGTGTTCGCTTTCTTGTTTTGCTTGTCTTGTGCGTCTTGCTTTTTTTCCTGACGGTGCGCAGTGCCTTCCCTTGGGCTGAAGGTTGGCATCAAAGTCGACGACGCTCTCGCGCAGGAGACCTTCGCACGTCTGGACAGAGGTGGCCATCACAAGATTTCGTGGGCAGAATTGTGGGCAGCTATGGCACCAACTCCAAGTGATGTTTTGAAGGAGTTGAGGGTGGCCATCCACAAGAAGCGTATGACAGTGGCAGAACTAATTCAGCCCTACGACTCTAATGCAGACCATATCTTGACAGCAGGGGAGTTTCACAGGCTGCTGGATGGTTTGGGCTTCGAGTTGGATGATGCTGAGGTCAGACACATCCTTCATCAGATAGACCTGGATGGAACTCGGACAATTTCATGTAAGGAGTTGGAATATGCATTGGATCAGCTTGGAGGCGGGAGAATGATCGATGGTGTTTTAGGATATTGTAGGGATAGACTTAGGTTTCGGAGATCGATTGCGTTTTAGACGTTTTGTTCCGCGTTTTGGAGGTGACTTCCAGCTGTGCACCCTTTTGGCCTAACCCCACTTGCATTCGTGCCAGCAGACGTGTTGCATACCGTACCCTGCTGTATCTGCCCTCTAATAAAATGCGGTTTTGCCAAAAGGAAAGTCTCACTTCTAGATACTGCATGATATTGCATGAGTCTCTCCTTAGAACTGCAGCAACCCTGCAAGGTTCGGCACCCAACGAAAGGCCCACACTTAGCAGGGAGACGTGGAAGGGCGATGAGTTGGTACCTCCCAAAGGGTTCACACAAACTTCGCCTGACCTGACCATGCAAGTGCCGGAAGGTGCTGGAGGTAGACCAGGCAGACCCTTGTCTCCAGCTCGACCTGATCAGACCGTGTCGCAACCAGATCCACCAGCTGCAACCGGTGCTTTGAATGAAATTCTGCGGGAGTTTGATCCGAGCCCGCTACTCGTCAATCCCTCCAGCTCGTCAAGCTCCCAAAAGACCACACGACCGCGACCAACACTTCAGGATGTCATGTCACAGCTGCGGAATCTGCGGCTGGTCCGTGGTATATCGCTGGCTGATCTGAAGAGCACTTGCGATGCAGGTGGTGACGTGAAGTTGACCAAAGATGACCTACTCAAGGTACTACTCCGCGTGGCTTGGCATATTCGTTTCTGACATGACTGTGCGGCATTGTGCCCCGGTTTTCTTATTTAATTTACTTGCTTAAAGTTAATCTGCCTAATTGTTGGAAGATGTTGCAAGTCTTTTTCCACCAACATGATTCCGAAGTTCTTCAAAAAGTCAAAAAGTAAGAGCTGCTCCCAGGCCACGTTTGCTGACCTCACCTATCCTGACCTAATTGATCCTGATGCTAATTGCACCTAATTGCCATGTTTGCCATCAATTGCCCAAATGCACATCGCCACATCTAGATGACAGGTCGGAATACAAGCCGATGCTGCCCTTGCTGAGCAAGTCTTTGGCTTCATTGACCAAAACGGAAATGGAAAGATCAGCTGGGAAGAGTTGTGGGCAGCTGCCAGACCCTCAGTAGACGAAGTTCTTCAAGTGTTGAAGGCTATCAAGGAGCAAAGAGGTCTCAGCATCGAAAGATTGCTTCGCCAGCACGACTCCAGTGGAGATGACAAGTTGGCCTTCAGTGAGTTTCAGAAATTGCTTCAGTCACTGAGCATAGACATCGATCAGGAGACAGCAGCGGAGGTCTTCAAACGCCTTGGCCGTGATGGGGACAAGCAGCTGTCAGTTAATGCAATTGTTGGAAAGGGAACGCCAGAACCAGGTCCACTGCAAGATGTCATGTCACAGCTGCGGAATCTGCGGCTGGTCCGTGGCATATCGCTGGCTGATCTGAAGAGCACTTGCGATGCAGGTGGTGACGTGAAGTTGACCAAAGATGACCTACTCAAGATACTACTGCGCGTGGCTTGGCATATTCGTTTCTGACATGACTGTGCGGCATTGTGCCCCGGTTTTCTTATTTAATTTATTTGCTTAAAGTTAATCGGCCTAATTGTTGCAAGATGTTGCAAGTCTTTTTCCACCAACATGATTCCGAAGTTCTTCAAAAAGTCAAAAAGTAAGAGCTGCTCCCAGGCCACGTTTGCTGACCTCACCTATCCTGACCTAATTGATCCTGATGCTAATTGCACCTAATTGCCATGTTTGCCATCAATTGCCCAAATGCACATCGCCACATCTAGATGACAGGTCGGAATACAAGCCGATGCTGCCCTTGCTGAGCAAGTCTTTGGCTTCATCGACCAAAACGGAAATGGAAAGATCAGCTGGGAAGAGTTGTGGGCAGCTGCCAGACCCTCAGTAGACGAAGTTCTTCAAGTGTTGAAGGCTATCAAGGAGCAAAGAGGTCTCAGCATCGAAAGATTGCTTCGCCAGCACGACTCCAGTGGAGATGACAAGTTGGCCTTCAGTGAGTTTCAGAAATTGCTTCAGTCACTGAGCATAGACATCGATCAGGAGACAGCAGCGGAGGTCTTCAAACGCCTTGACCGTGATGGGGACAAGCAGCTGTCAGTTAATGCAATTGTTGGAAAGGGAACGCCAGAACCAGGTCCACTGCAAGATGTCATGTCACAGCTGCGGAATCTGCGGCTGGTCCGTGGCATATCGCTGGCTGATCTGAAGAGCACTTGCGATGCAGGTGGTGACGTGAAGTTGACCAAAGATGACCTACTCAAGGTACTACTGCGCGTGGCTTGGCATATTCGTTTCTGACATGTCTGTGCGGCATTGTGCCCCGGTTTTCTTATTTAATTTATTTGCTTAAAGTTAATCTGCCTAATTGTTGCAAGATGTTGCAAGTCTTTTTCCACCAACATGATTCCGAAGTTTTTCAAAAAGTCAAAAAGTAAGAGCTGCTCCCAGGCCACGTTTGCTGACCTCACCTATCCTGACCTAATTGATCCTGATGCTAATTGCACCTAATTGCCATGTTTGCCATCAATTGCCCAAATGCACATCGCCACATCTAGATGACAGGTCGGAATACAAGCCGATGCTGCCCTTGCTGAGCAAGTCTTTGGCTTCATTGACCAAAACGGAAATGGAAAGATCAGCTGGGAAGAGTTGTGGGCAGCTGCCAGACCCTCAGTAGACGAAGTTCTTCAAGTGCTGAAGGCTATCAAGGAGCAAAGAGGTCTCAGCATCGAAAGATTGCTCCGCCAGCACGACTCCAGTGGAGATGACAAGTTGGCCTTCAGTGAGTTTCAGAAATTGCTTCAGTCACTGAGCATAGACATCGATCAGGAGACAGCAGCGGAGGTCTTCAAACGCCTTGACCGTGATGGGGACAAGCAGCTGTCGCTGAGGGCACTCTTTGGGTTTGACTCCGGGGGAGGCAGATCAGAAGTTCCGTCAATTGTGTTTCTGGATAATACTGATGTATACTGTATATGTACTGTATGATTATATACTGAATATGGGTTTTTCTTTCTTGCCGTCGAAACTTTGCTTTTCCCTTCTAATCACAGCATGAGAATCAGAAGGACGGAGCAAAGTAAATGTCACCGCTACAGCAACTAAGTCCATAACATTCCCAAGTATTCCAAATATGATTCAATGCATAATGCCGCACCAGAGTTTTGTTTTGTCAGTTCAGACGCGAAAGCGAGCGAGAGACGGAGCGAAACTGATAGACAGCTGGAGCGCGCGTAATTCGTTCTGATGTTGCCTATAAAGCCTATATAATTAGCTGGTACAAACGCAATTCATTGCATTCCACTGTGATCTTTTTATAGGCAATGCCGCAAAAGTATGGCACACCATTGCGCAGTTTGTATTCCATGCCCGTGATTAGCCGTCATTAATTCTGACATTGCGTGCTGCATAGCACAGACAACGCAGTCCATGCAGTTGTGCGCAAACTGGGAGTCCAGTCGAAGCATGATCGCGGCATGGTATAGTAAGACCTGGTAAGTTTGGTGAGATAGTAATTGCATAGGACGATATATAAGATGATACCAGTAGTACCCGCACGAGGCGGAGCGGAAGTTGCCTTAGGAGTCTATAGGACCTTTCTCATCTATAGAACTTGCATGCACCGTGCGCCAGCCAGGCCCGTGCGTGCGTGCATTCTGGGAAAGTGGTGTCCTGTTTCACATGTCACATTTGAAGCTCCACTTCGCACTTCACACTCCACACTACACACTTCACACTCCACACTTCACACTTCACATTCCACTCTTCGCACTCGACACTTCACACTTCACACTCCACACTTCACAGTCCACACGTCTCGCTTCTCACTGCTTTCTTCACACTCCACACTTCACACCTCACACTCCACACTTCACACTTCACTCTTCACACCGCACTCTTCACGCCCCACACTTCACACTGCACTCTTCACACTCCACACTTCATCTCATCTGAGCTCTTCTCATCTTAACCCAGCTCATCTCTTCTCATCTCATCTCTTCTCATATGTCATCGACGCTTTCATGAATCACTTCCCAGTACTACTTCGAGAACTTGCATGCGCCGTGCGCCAGCCAGGCCCGTGCGTGCGTGCTTTGTACGAAGCTGTTGCAGTGTTGTTGTCCAAGAACATGGCCTGCGCGCGACAAGGGTGCAATGCAACGTCAAGCAAACACTTTCCTCACACTTCACTCTTCACACCCCACGCTCCACACTTCACACTTGCACTTTATCTCAACTCATCTCATCTGAGCTCTTCTCATCTCATTTCGTGTCTTCCCATATGTCAGCTAAAGTTCTTCTTGGCTATTTTCTTGTCATCTGAGCGCAGCTCAACTTATCTCATCTCACCGAAGCTAGGCTCAACTCATCTCGGCTCTATGGAATCCAGTGTCAACAACTTGTCCGAAGCTTATGACCATTTAAAGATTTCTTTCCCTACGAGGTCCGGAAGGCACACCTCAATTTTATTGATCCTGGAAAACAGACTCCAGAGACTGAGTTGGAAAACACAAAAGAACTACGTGCAACAGCGTCTGCAATTGCAGCTCCAAAACCGGAGCTCGACGCCACAGCGAAAAAAAGACGATTTTGAAGCACTGTTTAAAAGGACTTTTAAAAGGAAAATTGCGAGCGCCAAAATTGAGAAAATCTGCTGACAAATCACTGTCGCAGCCTTGATGCAGCCACTCCAATATTAGTTACGAGATCCAGCTGCAAAAGGCAGTAGTATCACGCATGCAGCCGCGGCACCAAGCAACCTTGACGCAGCCACTACAATGCAATCTGAAGAGACTGAGTTGCAAAACACAATAGAAAACGCGCAACGGCGTCAGCAATTGCAGCTCCAAACCCGGATCTCGAAGCTACAGCGAAAATTAAAGGACCGGATAACCCCACAAGTCAACTTCTTCCAATAATGACCTACAAATGTTGTAGGGGGGACGGGGAAGGAAGGAAAGACAAAGGATGTGATGGATGATCGAATAGTAAAACAAGTGGTATGTGAAGAGTTGTGTGTGACAAAGTGGTATGTGAAAGATAGTGTGTGACAAAGAAAAACGGGGTGACAAAGTTGTGTGTGAAAGATGGTGTGTGTGTGAAAGTTGTGTGTGAAAGAAAGCGTGTGACAAAGTTGTGTGTGAAAGATGGTGTGTGACAAAGCGGTGTGTGAAACATGGTGTGGCAAAAGATGGTGTGTGCAGAACATTACTAAATAGAAGGAGACACATCACGGGCCCTTTTGCACGAAGCAAACGAAAGACATCACTGTGCGATGCAATCGGCTCTACAGCAATCTCTAAACGCAAGTGTCACGCGCAAATGTCACAAGCATTGCCAAGTCTCCAATGTCACCAAAAATCTTAACATAACATGTCCGGCCCAAGCGCGCCACCAGAGCCAGGCCAGTGCCATAAGTGCCATGCCTGCCACGCAAAACGCAGGTGGATGTCACTGCGTGCCACACCTGCCACGTGAAACGAAGGTGGATGTCACCAAGTGCCACGCCTGACAAAGATGTGCGTGCCACGCCTGCCTCGCTCACGCCTGCCACGCAAAACGAAGGTGGATGTGACCAAGTGCCACGTCTGCCACGCAAAGTGCCGCGGCGTCACCGGCGACTAAAACCAGCCCAAGCGCGCCACCAGAGCCAGCCCAGTGCCCTAAGTGCCACGCCTGCCACGCAAAACGCGGATGGATGTCACTGCGTGCCACGCCTGCCACGTGAAACGAAGGTGGATGTCACCAAGTGCCACGCCTGACAAAGATGTGTGTGAAAGATGGTGGTTGACAAAGATGTGTGTGAAAGATGGTAGTTGACAAAGATGTGTGTGACAGATGGTGTGTGACAAAGATGTGTGTGACAGATGGTGGTTGAAAGATGGTGGTTGACAAAGATGTGTGTGACAGATGTGTGTTTTGTGACAGATGGTGTGTGACAAAGATGTGTGTGAAAGATGGGGGTTGACAAAGATGTGTGTGACAGATGTGTGTGTGTGTGACAGATGGTGTGTGACAAAGATGGGTGTGAAAGATGGCAAAGAGATGTGTGTGAAAGATGGTGGTTGACAAAGATGTGTGTGAAAGATGGTGGTTGAAAGAGATGTGTGTGACAAAGATGTGTGTGACAGATGGTGGTTGAAAGATGGTGGTTGACAAAGATGTGTGTGACAGATGTGTGTGTGACAGATGGTGTGTGACAAAGATGTGTGTCAAAGATGGTGGTTCAAAGATCGTTGTTGAAAGGAAGGAGGAAGCGGAGGAGGAGGAGGGGGAGGAGGAGGAGGAGGCGGAGGAGGACGAGCGGCGGGATACAGAATCAAAAACAAGAACCAGAGCCAAGCCAGTGCCATAAGTGCCACGTGTGCCACGCAAAACCAAGGTGGATGTGACCAAGTGCCACGCCTGCCACGCAAAGTGCCACGGCGTCACCGGCGACTAAAACCAGCCCAAGCGGGCCACCAGAGCCAGCCCAGTGCTCTAAGTGCCACGCCTGCCACGCAAAACGCAGATGGATGTCACTGCGTGCCACGCCTGCCACGTGAAACGAAGGTGGATGTCACGCCTGCGTGGATGTGACCAAGTGCCACGCCTGCCACGTGAAACAAAGGTGGATGTCACGCCTGCCACGCAAAACGAAGGTGGATGTGACCAAGTGCCACGCCTGCAACGGGAAACGAAGGTGGATGTGAAAAAGTGCCACGCCTGCCACGCAAAACGAAGGTGGATGTGACCAAGTGCCACGCCTGCCACGCAAAGTGCCGCGGCGTCACCGGCCACTAAAACCAGCCCAATCGCGCCACCAGAGCCAGCCCAGTGCCCTAAGTGCCACGCCTGCCACGCAAAACGCGGATGGATGTCACTGCGTGCCACGCCTGCCACGTGAAACGAAGGTGGATGTCACGCCTGCGTGGATGTGACCAAGTGCCACGCTTGCCACGTGAAACAAAGGTGGATGTCACGCCTGCCACGCAAAACGAAGGTGGATGTGACCAAGTGCCACGCCTGACAAAGATGTGTGTGAAAGATGGTGCTTGACAAAGATGTGTGTGACAGATGGTGCTTGAAAGATGGTTGTTGACAAAGATGTGTGTGTGTGTGACAGATGGTGTGTGGCAAAGATGTGTGTGAAAGATGGTGTGTGACAAAGATGTGTGTGAAAGATGGTGGTTGAAAGATGACAAAGAGATGTGTGTGAAAGATGGTGGTTGGCAAAGAGGTTTGACAAAGATGTATGTGAAAGATGGTGTGTGACAAAGATGTGTGTGAAAGATGGTGGTTGAAAGAGAGGTGTGTGACAGATGGTGTGTGACAAAGATGTGTGTGACAGATGGTGGTTGAAAGATGGTGGTTGACAAAGATGTGTGTGACAGATGTGTGTGTGACAGATGGTGTGTGACAAAGGTGTGTGTGAAAGATGGTGGTTGAAAGATGGTGGTTGAAAGAAAGGAGGAAGCGGAGGAGGACCGAGGAGGAGGAGGCGGAGGAGGACGAGCGGCGGGATACAGGATCAAAAACAAAAAACCACACAAAGATGTGGGGAAAAGGACGATTTTTTGAAGCACTTTTTAAACGGACTTTTGAAAGGAAAATTAGGAGCGCCAAAATTGGGAAAATCTGCTGACAAATCACTGTCGCAACCTTGATGCAGCCACTCCAATGCTATTTACGAGATCCAGCTGCAAAAGACAATAGTATTACGCATGCAGCCGCGGCACCAAGCAACCTTGACGCAGCCACTACAATGCGATCTGCAGAGACTGACTTGCAAAACACAGCAACGGCGTCGGCAATTGCAGCTCCAAAACCGGATGGATCTTGACACCCCAGCGAAAAAATGACAGTTTGAAGCACTTTTTAAAAGGACTTTTAAAAGGAAAATTGCGAGCGCCAAAATTGAGAAAATCTGCTGACAAATCACTGTCGCAGCCTTGAGCCTTGATGCAGCCCCCCCCCAAACAATAGCTGTACTCCCTTTAAAGTGGAAAGTCAGATATTTTCTTCCCAGGAAAAAATTTTCACTTAAGTAAGGATTTCAATTGGCTACAATTGAAATCTAATTAAAACTGTTTTTTTGCCGATGAAGTTGTGGTATTTGTAGTACTTGTAGTACTTACTTGCTGTTTTTTTAAAAAAATGGGTCTCCCAAACTTTCTTGCCACAATAGTGAAACCCTAAAAACAATACATGGGTTCAGGGAGAAATTTGCCGCAATACCGACGAACCTAGCCACTAATCAGCATCCAACATTACTATTTACGAGATCCAGCTGCAAAAGACAATAGTATTACGCAAGCAGCCGCGGCACCAAGCAACCTTGAGGCAGCCATAACAATGCGTTTCGCCGCATCACGTCGCAAACCTGCACGGATCTACCCGTATGGCAACACCAGATGACAACAATCATGCAGCCATTCCACTGCGATCTGCAACCGCAGATTCAAAAAACGCATAGAACTACACACACAGGAACAGCCACTCGTTGCAGAACACAGAGGAGGAACACATTCGCGACAGAAACGACCGCAGCCGCAACCGCCGCACACACGAGGTAGCTTTCATCGCCGGCTGCAACCACTTCACACGGAAAAACACAAGGTTTCGTGCTCCGGCTTCCTCCCCAAAACAAAGCCCATTGAGCATCCGTGCAGCCATTCCACTGCGATCTGCAACCGCAGATTCAAAAAACGCATAGAACTACGCACAGGCACAGAGGAACAACCACTCGTTGCAGATGAGGAGGAACACATTCGCGACAGAAACGACCGCCGCAACTGCCGCACACACGAGGTAGCTTTCATCGCCGCCTGCAGCCACTTTACACGGAAAAATGCAAGGTTTCGTGCTCCGCCTTCGTCCCCAACAAGCCCCATGCAACATCCATGCAGCCATTACAATGCATTTTGCACCTCCCTTCATCAAGGTCAATCCTTTTGTGATGTATTGTTATGTAGTGTAAAGTCACACACCGCCCTTCATCAAGGTCAATTCTTTTGTGATGTATTGTTATGTAGTGTAAAGTCTCACACCACCCTTCATCAAGGTCAATCCTTTTGTGATGTATTGTTATGTAGTGTAAAGTCACACACCGCCCTTCATCAAGGTCAATTCTTTTGTGATGTATTGTTATGTAGTGTAAAGTCTCACACCACCCTTCATCAAGGTCAATCCTTTTGTGATGTATTGTTATGTAGTGTAAAGTCACACGCCGCCCTTCATCAAGGTCAATTCTTTTGTGATGTATTGTTATGTAGTGTAAAGTCTCACCCACCCTTCATCAAGGTCAACTCTTTTCTGATGTATTGTTATGTAGTGTAAAGTTTCACACCACCCTTCATCAAGGTCAAGTCTCACAATTCTCTTTGTCCGTAACACGGAAGTATTGCTTCCCAACTTCCTTTGATAAGGTAACTCTGGCTACTCTGGCAAACTTGGGATAGGCCCAGCATGGCCCAGCAGAATTTGGTGAAATCTGTAGGTCGCCAAGCGCCGACTTCACCTCAAGGTGGGTCTGGAAGAGCCTCAGGAGCCTCAGGAGCATCAGCTGACGTTTTGGATGACTACCTGACTCGCGAGCAGCTCAGGGAAATGATCATCCAAGCTGGTGTTGCTGCAGAGGACGAAGAAGGTCTTCTCAACAAAATTTTCCAAGAAATCGACACTGGCAGGACAGGGCGAGTAGCTCGAAGAGAATTGTGGCAAAAACTTGACCGATTTTTGCCCAGTGGTGAAGAAGAGGCTCAGATCGATGCTGCCATGCCCATGTCTAGGCCAAGAATGCCCAGCCCACCACGTCCTGCAACACTGCCACAGCCTGGTCGATATGAAAGTCCTCGATCAGCTTCAGGATATCCTTTAGGTTCTCAAGCTTGGGAATTGCTGCATCGGATCTACCGCCGCTTGGCGGGTCAAGATCCCAATGTCCCAACGATATCCTTGATTGAAGAGATTCGGCGTGATGTGCATGTCCGCAACGAGAGGCTCTTGGAGCGACCGGTTGTTGGGATAGCATTTGGGCAAGGCCCCAGTATTTCATTAGACGCTGCGCTGCAGCATGTTTTGCATCAAGTTGCAGGTGAGCGAAGCGTCTTGGAATACACCACATGGGAGCGCTTCAACTGGCTGCTGATTGAGGCTCAGCGCTTCTGTCAGACGGAGGTCCGAAGTCCAAGACCGATGGATCCGCGGCAACCTCCGGGCCGTCCAAGATCCCCAAGACTGGAAAGCCCGGCTCGTTCCCCAAGCCGGGATGGATGGTCCAGATGGGTCCTCTCTGCAGGGGGATCTATGGCTGGCTGCCCGAATCCAGATGAGGAACCTGGAGGGGCAATCGAGTGAGCTCCTCAGCGTTCAGTCGGATATTCTACATTGGATCCATAAAGATTTTCATCAGATTTCATTGGGTTGCCGCAGGTTGCCCTAGTATTCTGAGTGTGTGTGTGTGTGTGAATGTGTTGCCACCCTCAGAGTCTTTTTTACGAATTAGGTGGTGATTAGGGCGGGTTTTGGGAACGTTTTGCACGGTAATGTACCAGGTCGCAAATTGGTGACGGTGGGTATCGATCCCCCCCTAGTCCGTGATTTTTGGGAGGCCCTGGTTCATGATTAGTGGAGGTAACCGGGTGGATAGATAGATAGATAGATAAATAGATAGATAGATAGATAGATAGATAGACAGATAGATAGATAGATAGAGAGATAGAGAGATAGAGAGATAGAGAGATAGAGAGATAGAGAGATAGATAGATAGATAGATAGATCGATAGATCGGTAGATAGATCGGTAGATAGATCGGTAGACAGATAGATAGATAGATAGATAGATAGATAGATAGATAGATAGATAGGGTAGATAGATAGATAGATAGATAGCTAGCTAGGTAGATAGATAGGTAGATAGATAGATAGGTAGATAGATAGATAGATAGAAAGATAGGTAGATACCGTAGATACCGTAGATACCGTAGATACCGTAGATACCGTAGATAGTAGATACTAGATAGATAGGTAGATTAGATAGATAGATAGATAGATAGATTAGATAGATAGATAGATAGATAGATAGATAGATAGATTAGATAGACTAGATAGATTAGATAGATTAGATAGATTAGATAGATTAGATAGATTAATAGATAGATAGATTAGATAGATTAGATAGATAGATAGATTAGATAGATTAGATAGGTAGATAGATAGACTTAGATAGATTAGATTAGATTAGATTTAGATTGATAGATAGATAGATAGATAGATAGATAGATAGATTAGATAAGATAGATTAGATAGGTTAGATAGCTTAGATAGATTAGATTAGATTAGATTGATTGATAGATAGATAGATAGATTAGATAGATTAGATAGATTAGATAGATTAGATAGATTAGATAGATTAGATAGATTAGATAGATTAGATAGATTAGATAGGTTAGATAGATTAGATAGATTAGATAGATTAGATCGATTAGATCGATTGGATCGATTGGATCGATTGGATCGATTAGATCGATTAGATCGATTAGATCGATTAGATCGATTAGATCGATTAGATCGATTAGATCGATGAGATCGATGAGATCGATGAGATCGGTTAGATAGATTAGATAGATTAGATAGATTAGATAGATTAGATAGATTAGATAGATTAGATAGATTAGATAGATTAGATAGATTAGATAGATAGATAGATAGACAGATAGACAGATAGATAGCTAGATAGATTGATCCATAGATAAATGAATATATATATATATATACATTTATAGATAGATAGATAGAGAGATAGAGAGATAGACAGGTAGATAGAGAGAGAGAGAGATATATATATATATATATTTATATATATAGACAGATAGATAGATAGGTAGGTAGATAGATAGGTAGGTAGGTAGATAGGTAGATAGGTGGATAGATAGACAGACAGACAGACAGATAGATAGATAGATAGACAGATAGATAGATAGATAGGTAGGTAGATAGATAGATAGTTAGGTAGGTAGATAGGTAAATAGGTAGATAGGTAGATAGATAGACAGACAGATAGATAGCTAGATAGATTGATCCATAGATAAATGAATGATAGATATATATATATATACATTTATAGATAGATAGATAGATAGGTAGGTAGATAGATAGATAGATAAATAGATAGATAGGTAGATTGGTAGATAGATAGATATATAGATAGATAAATAGATAGATAGATAGACAGAAAAATAGATAGATAGACGGATAGACAGACAGACAGACAGACAGATAGATAGATAGATAGATAGATAGATAAACAGGTAGCTAGATAGATGGATGGATTTGTTAAACCAAGAACAGCGTGTTTCTTTGAAGTTTTTTCTCGGCCCAAAAGGAAACCTGCTAGAGAGACTGAAGATAGGTAAGCCACCAGCAGAGTTTCAGGATGTTTGCCTCAAAACTTTCTGTGCAGTTAGGGCTAGGCTACGACTGGAGGATTTCAATGTTGAAGGTCAGGCAATTTGCTATCCGCAGGGGTTTTCATTATGAGAGCTGTCTTTCGTTCCCCCTTCTCAGTTTTGATGGTGACAATGATGAATGTTGTTTGTTGCATGCTGTGGCATGCTGAGCTGACAGGTGGATGACCAAAGAGTTGGGTTTCGACCGTGAGATCCTCTACCGTTTGTTCGACATGTTCCGGCAGGGGGCGGAAAGACCTCGACTGGTGGGCCGGGATCGATTCATACAATTGGTGCAGGCCAGTCCCAGATTACAGACTGCTCTCTTGATGACCCCATTGATCTCCAGCACTAGGGTGATCCAGCCCATGAACTGGGGAGATTTCCTGTGGTATTTGTCTCAAGTTGATGCTATCAGTATTTCATGGTCAGATATCTTGGCCACAGCGTGTTGCTGTCGGACAGTGAGCCTTGGGTTAGCAACGGGACAACGACATCCCAGTCAGATGTCCCCAAGGATTTCAGTGGCCGAAAGCAGAGCTCGGTTGGACGAGTACAGGCGACGTGCTGAAGCACAAACGCCTACCAGGGTGTCTAGTCCCAGCAGCCCCAGCAGAAATGCGATTCCATCTACCTCCTTGCCTGCCGTGCAGAAACTGGCTCCCAAGATACCCCAGCATGCTCAGCCCACCAATTTCAGTGAGAGCTCTCCATTGGCTGCGATTGAAAATAGTTTCGCAAGAGTGTCTGGACCCATGCCACAGCAGAGAATGTCGAGGCATCCATTCCTTCCAGATGCTGATGATGATTTTCCGCCGCATTTCAGGGGTGGCTACTCAGACCGGATGGGCCCTGTTCCTATGGCAGAGATGCCAAAGCCTCCTCCGCCACCGCCTCTGGCAGAACCAGCTGGGCCAGATGGGTGCAGCAAACGTTTGAGGTTTCAAGTCAGCAGACCCTACGATCCAACGGAGCAAGACAGGATTGCAGCAGAGCTGAGAAAAATTTTTGATATGCGGATCAAGTCTGTAAAGTGACAAGACGGAAGACCAGCGTGAGCTACTCACACCACTGCTGCACTGAGTGGTTTGCTCAAACAACGTGTTCCAGAGAAGTACCTGGGGCAAGCGTGTCCGAATTGGAGAGAAAACTCACCTGTATCAATAGATAGATGTCCATAGATGTCTACTTGTGCTGTGGTATGCTGTTAGAAGCAGCCCGACAAATCACCAAAGAGTGAAGTTGAACCACAGACCTGTGTAGCACAGATCCGATTTGCTAATGCACAGCCAGAACGAAAGCTGGCAACAGGCACTGAAGACCACAAGTTCACAAGACGCTGATAAGCACGTAGCGTCAACATGCCTCCACTCTCCATATTGCATTATATTGCCATATTATGCTATATTATGCCACGTCATGCCATATTCCGCAGATCCTTTTACAGTAATTGATGAAGGAAAGGGGAAGGGAAGGCCCTTTGGGGAGACTGCGTGCCGACCTGAGCCTGGGGCTCAGCATGTTTTCGGTTCCATGGTGTTCCTTTTGGCCTCGACTAGTTCCATTAAATTAGAAGCCAGCTCTTTCCAGGCCATTGAAGGGAGCACATCTTGCGACCTGCGGCCTGGTCGGCTTCTGAAGGGTGATGTTGATATGCCCAACAGAACCCAACAGCTCCCAATCGGTCATGTGAGTCATGTGGGAAATATTTGAAAATCATAGCCCACCATGAAAGAAACATGGATAAATACGGGTAAATCATCTATAAATGGACCATCTCCCATAGATTCCCTACCATAGATTCCATAGATTGCAACGGCAATATGAAATTCCGCTATTTCTATCTGCAAGCTGCGTCTCCCCTTTCAATCACTGAGGCGCATGGTGCTCTGCCATGTGTTGCACACGCGGCCTTTCACAGGCGTCCCAGCAAGCTGCCAGTCGTTTGGGGGACATGTGGTGATAACCATTGATAGCCCACCTCTAAAACGTTCTAAAACTACAGGGTGGCTGGAAAATATGTGGAAACATGTTCTGAAGACATCTGAAGACTTTGAGGCAGATGGAACATGTAGAACAGGTTCAGAAACAAAGCCATGGAGCATTCGGATTTAGTTGGCAGCTCCTACATGGACAGGCAAGCAGTTGCGGGCGCTGTTCTTCTGCTGGCTTACACTGCAGGGCCACGTTCTAGGTGTTGCCCTCGGGATTCCGCTTTCAAATCGCCCTCCTTACTATCCTCTTTACACGGTTGCCAATGATCCAATGCATGTTTGCAAAACCAGTTTGCCTTGCTCCATCTTGCTCCTGCAATCAGTTTGCTTGACAATTTTGATGCAAGAGGGCACATGTATATATGCTCATAGTGGTTCCAGGGTGATCGTGCAGAATGATGACTTTTGGCACAGGATTGAGCCTGAGCTGCTTCATTCTGAGGATCTCCACTTGTAAACGGTGGCGCGAAGTCAGGCATTAGAGGCTGGCAGCTGCAAGCAGTTCCGATTGTCCCGGTTCTTTCGGGTCAGTTTCGTTTCATTAACTTTGGAAGTTGTGCACTCAACAAATCGAGAAATCTCATCGATGAGCATCATGAATTACATGAATTAGCACAGACGTTTTGAAGTGTCAGGACATCAGTTTGGAGCTGCTGTCCCTGCATCAGGTCCAGGTGAACCTCATGAAAATGCCATTTTCGCTGCCCCGTCATTCCCTCAATGACACTGTGACAACCTTGTGCATCTTGGGCACCTTGGGCACTGTGACATATGTGACATGCCTCGGGGACCGTGGGGAAGAATAAGCTCAGTGTCTCAAGCAGAGACCCAAAGCTTGACTTTGGAGACAAGCTGCGCAAGCTTGGGGAAGGCACAGGTGAAGGATGGTGAAGGGAATAGTTCAAGAAAATATGTTTCCAAGATCTTGGAGCAATAGGAACATGCACTTTCATGTCTTTTTCCAATTTGATCAATTTGTTTGATTTTGTTTCCTGCCTTTGTCGTTTGGCGACTGGTGGAGTTCTTGTGGGGGACCAAGGAACAAAGTGCCATCCTCTAGGCCTTCCGCTGAACTCTACAGAGAGGTCAGGATGGTATAGGATGGTGACTTGAGTGAGGTTCTGTGACATTTCTGTGACCTTGACTGACCTGCAGTGTGCCGGGCTGCTGTTCACCTTGCAGGGGGCCGCTCAAAATGCGCTAGATACAATAGATGGACCAAAGAAGGACGTGAAAAAAAGTTGCCTTTGCTTTAGTTCCTACAGCCACATGGATTTGTCATGATTTGTCTGAAAATAGTGTACCCCGAAATCCATTGGATTATAATATAATCATGTTCTCTATTAAGATAGCCATTTAGAGGTATACCCATGTATACCCCATTTTCCGACACACCCATTTGCAGCATTTTGCAGCAATCTTGTAGATTCACATCAGAAATCACGTTAGCTGCAGGAGGAGCGGCAGCTGCAGGACCAAACGTTGGCCTCCCAGCGCAGATCGTGTTTCCATGGTGGTTTTCATGGGGTCCAATTAGGGGCACCATGGAGCACCCCTATCTGCCCTATCTTAGGATATTTTAGGACACAGGAACTGTGTCAAGTCCTTTGATGTGACCGATGTCAGGGCGCCGTACTTTTTCTTCACCACGCCTCCGTATGTGAATATAGTGGAGCTACACTCAGCTGCTTGCGGCCTTGTGCATGCAGGGCAATGCACATTCTTGGCCGCTACTTGTATGCTGCATAATGGTACTAGGGGACTTTGATGGGCTCCTGCTAGGTCTTTGACTCGCACGATTCCAACTGCGATGTTAACTTCGAGTTGCAAGCCCCAGTAACATGTGATTGACACGGATGCGTACAGCAGTTGTTCTTTTTATCTTTGCAGAAGTTTGACTTTGAGCTGCCTGGACCAGTTGTGGTATGAGGTCCCCACCCGTGACAGATCCAAACCTTGTGGGGTATCCTGCTGATGGTGCAGTGCTTGGATCTGCTTGGCATTTTGTCATATTTTGTTGTGTCAGTCAATCTTTGGAGGATCCTTTTCATGGCTTTGGCTCTGGCCATGGTGCATTAGGAACCGACTCCTTGCGTCAAGCGCATATGGCATGTGCCCTCCTCAGCAGCATTTTGGTTTGTGGCAAACTGGAGGGAGGTGGAACCCAGTCAGCCAAACGACGAAAAGCTAGCACCCTGCCTAGGTGGAGTTGCACCAGCACGATTCGTTTTCACCACTTCTGATCTTTCAGCCTATGAAGATGAGTGGGGTTCTCAGCTGCCTCTTCATAGCTAGAGTCTTGTGATGTCTTGTGCTTGATTTGTGCTTTCTGGATCTTCCTGGCACCAGCTGCACATGCAAGGACCATCCAGGCAAAGATGCAGGCGACCCGATGATTCTTGGGATCCACGGATGGAGAAATTGATGTGAGGATTCTGTGAGGATGTGGAATGCACATGAATGCACTGTGTTGTTCGATCTTTGCTGTTTTTGTCTGTGTTTGCGCATGTTGTTTCAACAAGCATTTGGACCTCTTGTTCCTGACGCAGATCCGCATTACTTGCAACCGAGCCTTCTTCGTGGAGTGCGAAACTGAGATCGGAAAGGGAAAGAAACTGCTGGCTTCAGAACATATCATATAATATGTGCCCTAATATAGTTCATATGTATCCAAGTATCTATATGTATGCATGTAGGCTATGTGGTTGGAATTAGTTAAAGCAAGAGCCCAACAACATGCATTCCAGGACTTGCCGGTATCATCATAAACCATCACGAGCATCAAAAATGAAAGCTAAAGTAATTGCCATTAGAGCGGAGCGTGCGCTGCTCTGTTAGACTCTAACCTGTGCAACCCTGGAGCAGGGATAAAGACATGGTGCGAGCGATATCCACGGCACCGCGATGCACCGCGGTGCACCGCTGCAAGTTTGAGGTCACCAACCTGCGAAAATGTTCTGGATGCCACTGGCGATTTTCCTCGGATTGAGGAATGCCGCTTCAATGAGCACGAGGTGCTCTTTGGATCTCTTTGTTCTCTTGCAGTTTTTAATTGATATGAAAACGATGTCTGCTCGCATTGTGGCTGGTATTTTGACACCAGTTGAATTGGAGTGTCTATGTGCATCTATGCACGGATACTTCTTCGATTTAGCACCGTCATCATCGCATGATCATGTTGTCATATTTTCATCTTGATTGATAACCATGATAATCATGTGATTGAAGTCGTCTCACCACCACGACCAGCAGCAACAACAACAGCAGCAGCAGCAGCAGCAACAGCAACTGCAACAGCAACACAGCAGCAGCAACAGCAGCAACAGCAACAGCGACAACAGCGACAACAGAAAAAACATGAAAAAACGGAAACAGCAGAAACAACAGAAACAACAGCAACAACAGCAACAACAGCCACAACAGCGACAACGGCGACAACGGCGACAACGGCGACAACCGCAACAACAGCAACAACAGCAGCAACAGCAGCAACAGCAGCAGCAACAACAACAACATCAACATTGCTCAATGCTGGGCACCAGGCAAGATTGATCCTGCAGACGCGGCTTAAGAAACGTGCGCTCCTTAGCGCTACATTTTTGATACCAGTAGACTGCCAGCTGCCAGATCTTGCTGCAAGATTTGCCATGCCTAGAATCGACCTACTCGCTGACTCTGAAGCTGCTTTTGCGAGCAGCTCAGTCAGCCAACGTTGCACGACGAGTGCTTCAAGAAATGGCACATCAACGACCTTGTGTGATTCAGCCTATTGTTCAACTTTGACCTAGCTAGTTGGCCCATATTATCCTGAAGTCGTGTTACAAATCAATGCTTCCCGCCTCATAGGCCTGCTGGCAGAATGACCGCCGCGGAGAATAGTTACGTGTTCACCACAGAGCCCTCCTCTTGGAAGAGCGAATGCTGAGACAAGCAGCACTGCCGCATCTGTGAAGCCTGGTGAACACCGCAGGTTTGACCCAGATGACATCATCGAGGGCACGAAGTCATCAATAGATTTGGGCTACACGGTGCGCTTGTACTGATGGGATTCCAGGAAAAAAACACAGCGTAGAGATGTAGTAGAGATTAACGAAGTGGCAAATGTTAGCAACCGCCTGATGTGGCGCAGTCAGGGGCCAGGGACCTCCAGTTTATGTCAATGTATTGTAAAATCAGGGTCGTCTACCTTTCCCATCCCTATGCAGGAAAGAGGATTTGATGACTATATTGATTTCCTGCGGCCAAATGGGATGAAAGCTGGCCGTTCCCACATTTCTCCGACTCATTCTGCGTCATCCCCGTGCTGGTCTCACAGGTGCCTCATGCGAAGGACCCCACTTACGGCAATGACTTCACATCTCGAGGTGCATTGTTTTTTTAACCAGAATGGAACTGGTTGCCGCTTTATTTTTGATGTGTTTGCAAGGTTTGAGAGACATTCAAATGTTCAAGGTAGGTCCTGGTCGGCATGTTGAAATTTTGTCAGCATCAAGCAGGGCTTCATCGTTGTGTGGGAGCTGAGAGCTGATGCCTTCAGGCTACATCACTGGCTTCTTCTGGCAGCCCACGCTCACCTACGAATCAAGTCCAGATGCCGGGCGCGTAGAGCATCAGTGAGGACCTGGTTGCCTGGGAAGGTGTGTACATTTAGTGATACGATTGTAACATGCGCACACAGAATCGCAGAGATATAGAATGTGATAGAATAGAATATGTGCATCACACAAACACATGTTATTGATATATAATTTATATTATATAATTATATATTTTTATATATATACACATACACACATACCCACACGCATACACACACATGCACACATACACACATACACACATACACACATACACACATACACACATACACACATGCACACATGCACACATGCACACATGGACACATGCACACATGCACACATGCACACATACACACATACACACATACACACATACACACATACACACATACACACATACACACATACACACATACATACATACATACACACATACATACACACATACACACATACATACATACATACATACATACATATATATACACATGCAATGTGCGTATGCGTAGTCTTATTTATATATATATGTATACATGCATGCATGGATGGCTGGCTGGCTGGCTGTTTGTTTGTGTTTGTCTCTGTATGTTTCTGTCTGTCTGTTTGTCTGTCTGTCTGTCTGTGCGCGTTTGTGTATCTGTGTGTGTGTGCGCAATCAGATATACAATACGTATGTTATTGTAGATCGGATGGATGTATGGATGGGTGAATGAGTGTATTCATGGATGATCATGGACGTGCATAGTAACATAGAAGCGTACAGGGCACCATTCTGATGGCAGATTGGCTTGTGCAGATCCAAGATATTGGCCTCCTCCAGCAGTGTGTGCTGAGGTGATTACTGTGTTCACATTTGGCTTGCGCACCTTTGGGTTCATGAACACTGACTACAACATCGACGTCGTGGCACATCCGACCAACGTATTTGCCTGAGTTTTCCGAGCGTGGGCAACTGTTTGCAAACTGGCGAAATGTTCTTCCACGGCCACGTGGTCATTTGCTGTTTGGAAGTCCATTTCCGCACAAGCAGTTTGACAGTCAAGGTATGGAAGATCGGAATACCAGGAACTGATTGTGATCAATTTACGCTGGGAGCCGAGTCGAGTGGCGACGCAATGGTGCAGTGATCAAGTGCCGGCCATGCGATCGGCTTGGGAACATGCCGTTTTCCGTTCAGTTTGCCTCGAGGCCACCCCACATCGGAACGACCTGCCGACTTCGGCCGGAAGCCAAAGCATGGCAACATGTAGCTGGTTGGTGCTAGCAAGTGTCCACTCCGCCACTACACAACCTATGAATTACAAATTGTGGAGAGAGATAGGTAGATAGGTAGGTCGATAGATAGATACGTAGATAGGTAGATAGATAGATAATGATAGATAGATAATGATAGATAGATAATGATAGATAGATAATGATAGATAGATAATGATAGATAGATAATGATAGATAGATATTGATAGATAGATATTGATAGATAGATATTGATTGATTGATTGATAGATAGATAGATCTTATATTTCATGAAATTACATCACATTATATTATGATATATTATGTTATATTTGATTATGATATATTATGAAGTATTGTGATGTGTTGTTAGCACTGCATTGATTATGTTCTACTGTATCATATTGCATTATTTCGGCTGTTAGTACGTACTCTTTCTCAACTCAGGTCCTTTCAAGGAGCACTAGCATCAGAGTGCAGCACTGAATACTGAACTGAGAGCCCCAAAGAGGGAGCCACAGAGAAGGGAAAGAAAGAAAGGAAGGGAAATTAACAGAGAACCGAAATAAAAGAGACTATTCACTATTCAGATAATTTTCCAAAAATGATCAACAGGAACTGCCGAACGACCAGAAATCTAAGGGCGAACGGCTTCCGCTTGGATGTGGGTGCGGGGCCTTGACTTTGCTGAATGCTGATTGCACTGAAAATTGTATAGCTTGCCTTCAGCATGAACTGTCAATGTGCGATGACTTCTGCAGGCACCACGCCAATGATCAACTTGGGAAGTCAAGCCACTCCGCAGTTCTCTCTGCCTTTCACCCAGTGTATCCCAGCGGTTTGTTTGCATCACTGCCGAAATCCAACAAATCAGTGTCTTTCCACTTTCAAACACTTCTTCTGCAGGGTGATCCGGAACCCGCCGTCCTCTGTCAACATGTGCCTCCGGAGTCTCCTGTGGTATCCTGTGGTGCTGGGCACAAGACATCCAGCATCATGCAGCGACGGAGACACTGATCTGAATGGATGGAGGTACTGGACCGCAACCTCATTCCGTATCGATGAGGAGCATTTGGCAGTATCCATTTGCAATATTGCAATGCAAGCTGCATCTATATGCATCTATGATATTCTATGATATCTATGTCAAAGTTGGACAAGATCATGCAAAAACATTTATTTCACAGGATCAGCTACCGCAAGAGCCATTCACAGTGTTCATCGACAAGCCGATCAGTGTCTTATCCTCAAAGTCTTCAGACAAAATTAAACCACAGTATTAACCACAATATTAACATATATTAACCAAATAATGGGGAAACCATGGAAAACCAGTGATTTCTACCACAGGATGTTGCCAACTGGAGGTCATGGGCATGCCGACAGGGCAGATTGTTGCGTTCGGCTCTCGGCCTCGTCCATTGTGCCCGGTGCCCGGTTGTAGACTGATCCTCCCAGGTTCGAACGCGGTGATGTCAATGTGGAGCAGTGGGCCTGATGCTTGGAGGGCTGGTGATGCTGATGATATTTGCAGGTTGTGTTTTTGCTTTTGCCGGAGTCTCAGAGAGAGAGCGAGAGCGAGAGCGAGAGGGAGGCACGGTTAAAGAGAGAGCCCAGAGAGTGAGGGATACCGTAGGATGAGAGAAGTAGAGGGAGATATTTTAATTTATATATATCATTCTGTATATGTGCCGCCGGTTTTGATCAATCAGGGAAGAGGAGCATTTGCTGTGCCTGCAAAGCCCTATAGTTGTACAGTGCCGCAGGGTCAGCTGGGTTTGGGTTGGGGATGGAACTGCGAACCTGATTGACCCTAAAGCAGGGATGTTTTGGTCATGTGGTACGCAGCGTTGTTCAGGAAAAGAGATTTGCGACTCAAACTGTTCAAATTCCGAGTTGAACTTCCTTGCTCCTCCTCCTCCAAACATTGAAGAATTCCCAAGAGAACCGACTGCCCTACCTGAGCTGAGACCTGAGTTTGTCTTTGAGAATGGTGAGAAATATACCGGAGAATGGGTTGGCAATGAACGACATGGGAATGGATCCCATCAATGGCCCAATGGTGCCAGATATGATGGTCAGTTCAGGAACAACCAAGCCAATGGCGAAGGAACCTTTCGATTTCCCAATGGAGGAGTTTATGAGGGCCAGTGGAGATCCGACCGTGCACATGGTCATGGCAGCTACCGGCATTTTGACCAGGCAAGTTATGATGGCCAGTGGCGCAATGACAAGCAGCACGGTGAAGGTACTGAGCTTTGGCCAGATGGTGCTCGGTTTGAAGGGCAGCACCGAGAGGGACAAAAGAGTGGCAAAGGCCGACTAAATTGGCCCGATGGATCCAGCTATGAAGGTGACTTCGAGGCAAATACCCTTCATGGGGAAGGGGTGTACCGCTGGGCTGACGGAAAAGAGTACAGTGGTCAATGGGCCAAAGACCGAATGAGTGGACAGGGTTGTTTCACTTGGCCAGATGGGCGCGTGTACACTGGCCAATACTTGGACAACCAGAAGCATGGGAATGGTATGATGCGGTGGCCAGATGGTGGGCTGTACGAAGGCCAGTGGGTCAAAGGGCTCCAGCATGGCAAAGGTACTCACACCTCCAAGACCGGAAACTGCGCGTCTGGAACTTGGGAATCTGGCCGCTTCATCGGCTAGTCAAAACATGTCAAAACGTAAAAATGCCCAAGGACAAAGCCCGAGATGTCCACCGCTTGCTGCGCGTACTGCGCCCATTGGCGTCCCAATATCCTCACTGTGCCAATACAATGCCGCTGCCAGATGGATGGTCTGGAAGTTGGCGAAAGTCTCACTTGACCCATGATACCGCGTGGTGCAAGAGTCACCCCAGAAGAAATAGTTGTCCTGGCATTCCGGATATTTCCGGATCATTCCATGCGATTCTAGGAAACAGTCCACTTGTTTTCCTTATCTCAAGAATTGTTGACACAAATTGCTCCACAGTGGCTTGAGCGTCTTGTGAGTCATGTCAAGGTCGTGCTGGAGTTCAAGCCTGGCAACACCATTATGTCCGCTTCACAGGGCACCTTTTTTTATTGCCGCAGCGCCTGATGTTTTATCCCATGAGTTCCCATGAGTTCCCATCCCTGTGCTGAGGCCTGGTCAAACCATGTCAGGGATGATCGTTATCCTTCCACCCACCAGCTTTACCATCGTGGCCAGCGCGGCTCCGCAGTTGTCGGTTGCCTCAGCAGAAGCTGCAGCCCACTTTTAAAAAAACACACCCCGCAGAAACCGTGGCTTAATAGGAGATTTACACAGAGTTGAGACCATCTAGGGGGTGCTTAATATTATGTATATATAGGAGGATGGGATTAAAATTCAGCATGATTTAGTTCCTGTTTGGACTTCTTGGAGTTGAATTGCAATGATGTCATACTGTATTCACACGATGTCCTGTTTCCGGTTTTGCTGGTTTTCCAACCTGCCAGGCCGAATCCAACCTACAACGAGCTGCCCTGCACGTTCTGAACCCAGAACCGTTGGGATTTGGGGATGCGATGGGACACGGGATGACACGGGTTTGGGGATGGATATGATAAGGATGGCATACGGGTATGATAAGGATATGATTAGGATATGAACGGATCAAAATTGTGCACCTGGTTTACTAGATCTGTATAATATGATATATGATTCTATGATGTTCATTCATAACTATTGAATTTGAGAATCGTTAACAACAATTGGAACAATCTAGAAATATGGTGAAATATGGTCAAAATCCATCAAAATCCCCATAACTCCCATAAGTAATCACAAAAGATGACCATCACCGATGACTGACTTTAGGTCATGGCCAGAGGCAGATCGCCTCGCTGGGTCGCAACCTTAGTGTTGGATGCTGTGATCAGGTCATATTGGATGATCAATTGAAGTCAATTGATATAGTGATATGGCATTCCATTGCAAACTTAGATACACCCAAACTTCACGTGTGTAATAAACATATTAATAAACATATTAATATCTTAAAATATGTATTTATTTATTTACTTATATATATATATATCATATGTGTGTGTGGCATTTACGCCTTATCTTCTTATTGCTGATGTCGCCTCGTGACTCTTTCCGAGGCGATGGATCTGCCCCATTGCAGATACTGCACCCTTCAAAGAAACGACCTACGGCGTCAGATTGAAGGTGGTGAATCCATCGGAGCCGGGCGCCGCGCGATCATGGAGAGTCCTGATCTCAGGAATTTAACCATATAGTTTTCCAGTGATCCAATGGCAAGTGAATGGTAAGTGAATGGCAAGTGAATGGTACGTGAATGGCAAGTGAATGGTAAGTTGGCTATAATATGCTATAATTGTATATAATTGTATTGGATTGTGCTGCTAGATGATTAGATGATGTTGGGTAACTTATGCTAGCTTGCATGGAATGAGGGTATTACAAGATCTCTAGATCTTGCCTAACATTTTGGCAAAAAATATATAACAGGCCGATACAGGCCGCATGTGAACATTCTCTTCCTGGTCCGTCTCAATGTGCCCAGGTCGAGTTGTGGGAAGAGGATGCTTCAAAACCGGTCGCTGCAACACGTGGAATCCGCGGAATGGAAGTGTTTGGATCCCAAGGTGAAGCGAAGCAATGCTCCAAAGCAGGATTTCATTGGATACGGTTAGCGTCAGCCATCCAAAATCACGAGTCATTCTTTGATGGCAGCTGGTAGCATAGCAACAGGAGTACCAAGTCCACTGTTATTGTGAGGACTGGATTACAGTTCGGATTTGTTTCGGGTTCCCCTCGAAGTGGCCATGGCATTCAGGTCAGGGCCAATGCAGGCTGCGCTGTCGCAAGAGAATCAGTTGCTGGGAAGTCTTACGCCCAGCAAGATTGCTTCTGTTTGGAGTCTGGAGACTTTTTTTGGCACCCGGAGCCATCAGAAAGCAGATAGTTTCATGATGTTTCATGTATTTCATATATTTCATGTCCAGCTGTCCAGCTCCGAGGTATCAACACTGTTCGGTTTGATATCACTCCTCAACAGCCAATCGGAAACGTGCCAAACACTCGCCTGCGAGTCTTAGCAGGGGACCCTGGAGGGGACTCTGCAGGGAAACCCTGGAGCTCCGAAAATTCTCTCATGGCGCCCAAGTTCAACATGTTTCACGGTGGTTCTACAGCTGTTGACAGATTCAGATTTTTGGAGCCATTTGTTATTTATGAATGATGAAATAATTCTGACCAGTCTTTTGCCAAGGCCCCACCTGGCTTTGTGGTCATCAAACGATGCCAAGTGCTCAAATTCTGCAGTCCTTCACGTGTCTTACAGAGTTTTGATGAGTTTTGTCATGTTTTTCCTTTCAGGATTCCGGAGGATTGGTTCCTTAAGTGTTTCCACTTGATCTATCTTGATCTCACCCCCAATGACCTGCATCCGCCAGGTCTGGGTTTTCAGCCCATTGAGCTCCCAGCGTGCGAATGCATAGGCCGGGTGAGACTTAAATAGTCACGTCGTCCCAGTTGGATGAATGGACAAGTTGCCGTAAACCCCTGTTTACAATGTAAACACTACTTTTACGCATCATTTGACCGTTCATTTACGATCTTTGCTGTTTTTAAACCCTGCTTTCCTGTTGTTGGTCCCCTTGAACCAACCCAATCACTGCTGCAAGTCAGCCAGGTTCCGACTCGAATTCCTTCGAGTTGGTGTTTAGTGAGCCTGGTGATGGGCTTATTTGAAAACACCTTGGAATGCCTCCCAAGACTCCCAAGGATGACTATGAATTGCCCATATCAGTTGGAACTCCGCATGTTTCATTTAAACATGATGCAGAAAAACTCCGAGGTTTTCTATTTTGATCTATGAATTGCTATGGGTTTGTGGAACATCCATACTCAGTAGCTCACAATTTATGAAAGATTTTGGAGTTTGTGCACCATCGCATCTCACTGAGGTGCCATCCAAGGAGGCACTCAATACTCCTTCCAGCTGCAGGTGCCCATGTAACGTGAGCATGTCTGAGGGGATAGGGTTTAACCATGGCTTTCCTATTGCAAAAGACTCGATTTGTACTCGATTTATATAATATTACCCTCTGGTTATTTAACATAGCCATGGAAAATCACCATTTTTAATAGGTAAACCATCTATAAATGGGCCATTTTCCATGGCTATGTTAAATAACCAGAGGGTATATAATGATGATTCATCCCGGCCGTGCCAGTTGCAAAATCCGGTGAACAACATTGCAGACGCGGACAACGTTTGGTCTTTTGACACCTTGCGGCCAGATGGTGTCGCCAGGGAAGTCTCCTCAGACATATCCAGTGATGATGTTGGTTGAGAAGGGTTCCCCGGACACAGCTGTCACCTGCTGTTTGGGCTAAGGACACTGCACGGTCACAAGGATTCTTTCTCTATCCCTACGAGCTGCTTGTCAAAGGAACTGAGCACTAGCCAACACAGGGCAATCTCTTGATAAAAATACTGTACTTCTTACAGCATCCTGAAGTGTACTGTACTTGAATGTTTTTGTTGATGCGCTATTCAATTATTCAATTCAGTTGTACTTGGGCCAGGGTACTGACCAAGCTGGGTTTTTTGTGCCAAGCACCTCAGGTTTTCGTCCTTTGTGGTGGTCCCTTTGATGCGAAAGGTGCGTGGGCAGACAGCATCAGTGGCTGTCCGTATTCGTTGGTCACATCAGACCTTTCAGATAATGAAAAGGCTTCATAATTCATGAAAATGACTGTATAAATATTGCATATAGTTACAGAAAATTACTTACTGTATAAATTCATATAAATACCGTATATAGTTAGTACATGGTAGTAATTACATGTTGATATCATGTTGAATAATTGTGAAAACCCTTGCCAGCCTGGGCCTCAAACAATCGTCATCCGCTTCATCTCGCCTCTGTTTTCAGCTCAGTGCAGACGCTGGTTGGAAGCTGTATGAAGCAGTCAAATTTTATTATTTGAAACGGATGCTGCATCAAAGCCGCAAAATCGGAGCTCTCCAATTGATTTCTTCGATTTTCTTCGTATTCTTCCTGGTTTTCCAATTTCTTGGCGCATCTTAGGCTCATCCCCTTCGACGACTACGTTCGAGTCCGAGCGCCTCTCGGGGTTGCTTGGCGCGCCTCAGATCTTCAATTCAGCACGCAGGGAGTGCGGATGCCCAGCCCCAGCAAGGCGTGAAAAAAACGATGCCACTGTAGCTATTCCAACAACATTAAGTAGCTACAGCTACTGTAGCGTTTTTTCGTCCAAGAGTTGGGGGGGATGAGATGGGGATGAGTCAAACATGGATTTCCATGATTTCCATGATTTCCATTGATTTCCATGATTTATCAGGTGTTTATCTATTTTATCTCAATAAAGAGCCCAAGTTGATACAAGGATAACGTGGTGCGGTGAGGTCCATCCTTTCTTGATCTGACCCCCAGTGGCCCCCAGGAGCTCACGCAAGCGAATGAGCTTGGAGCAAAAGAGCCCAGTGTGGAGTACGAAACTCCCAATGTCTGGCACCCAGAATTTTCACCCAAAATGTGGGGAATCGGGCTGCATGTTCAATGATGTTTGCAATGTGACTATACATAATGAGCCATAGTGAGCAATCTGTTTATCCATTGTTTATCCCCTATTTGAAATTCCATTTGGGGCACACTCTACCAAGATTGCAAATATTGTTTAGATATGTTGATTCAAAAACCATGGTTTTTCTCAAGTTCTTCTGCAGTTCCTCAGGAGCTCGTTGTCCAGCTCACCACAACCGCGCAAGCCAACTTCGAGCCAGCTGGCTCAGAACATTGCAGTGATTTGCCTTCCAGTAAATTCACATAGATATGGAATACCCTCTGGTAAACTAACATAAGTATGGAAAATCACCATTTTCAATGGGAAAATCCACTATAAATGGCCATTTTCAATAGCTATGTTAAATTACCAGAGGGTAATACGTAAAAACCAATGCTTTCCCATGTTTCCCTAGGAAAATGATCTACAAATTGCAGGTTTTCCAATGTTTTCCATATCATAAGTTGCTGGAGGATAAGGAGGATAGATCATAAATTCATAAATTTAGAGGGATTTCAACTGAGTGCAGTAGTTCCAAAGGCCAACTTTGGATGAGATGCAGCAATGCGGCCGTTGCAAGGTACGGGATTGCGGCTGTAGCAGAGATACCCCAAACAACGTGCAGGGCTTAGTGGCTTAGTGACTTAGTGCAGTTGAATTGTCTCACATTGCATTCATTACATCATATTACATCCATTGCTGAGTCATTGCTGTCCGTTTCTCTGAACCATTGTGTACATTGAGTTTTCCAATTTGCCAATCACTTGACGGAAAATGCGGCAAAGGCCAGTGCCAAATGCATGGTGGATTGAGCAGTTTGGATGCCCAGCTCAGGTTTCACCATGGATTTCCAGGGTGATTTCACCATGGGTTTCCTATGGATTTTTCCCTGAAATTCATCCATTGACCGCTCCAAAAAAGTGCCGCGCCAAAGCGAGGTACCGAAGAACTGGAAATCCTGCGCCAGACAGCTGGCGATACATTGCATCGAAGGGAGCATCTGGCTTCAAGACCCAGGTGTTGATCAACACAAAGGCGAGATGCCGAACCGGGCCATCAAGAAACAGCCGGTTGAATTGGAGTTTAACCTATATTTTTATTATTAGTAGTAGTAGCTGCAGCAGAGTAGTAGCAGCAGTATTATTACGCGCAAATCCCCCAGTTCGCCCACACAACTTCTTAGGGATTTTGAAGGAATATAAAGTCCGACCCCCGTTAAACTTTACATTCAATTGGGAAGATCAACAAGGGCATTAGGAATACATTCAATTGGGAAGATCAACATGGGTATTAGGAATATAAATTCCCACCCCCGTTAAACTGTGCATTCAATTGGGAAGATCCACAAGGGGATTAGGATTATAAATTCCCACCCCCGTTAAACTTTACATTCAATTGGGAAGATCAAAAAGGGTATTAGGATGATGCTGATGATGATGATGATGTTGATGATGATGTTGTTGTTGTTTTATGTTGTTGTAACATTCAACGCACAGGTAGCTAAGCTGTGCGTTGCAAGATGAAAGCCATGATCCTGGACATGTGCATTTTGTGCCACAAAACGCAGTGTTTTTGATGTTCAGACATGTCGTCGGCGTCGGGGTTTGCCCGTATTATTACTATTATAATCTATTATATGCATATTGCATATATATATATATATATTATCTAATATTAGTATTATTATCATGCAAATATAATCAAATATATTTAGGAGATTTCACAGGAAAAATCCACAAGTATCATGTCGTCAGTGAGATGTTGCCCAGGCACCAAGAAATGTGCATTTGCCGTGTGACCACGTTCGGCCACGGAGGTTGATCCTTTCAACATCGTGGCAGAAGGTTGGCAGAATCCAACCCTCTTCGTCTTCGAGACGACGATCGAGGCAATGGACTCAGATGACTCAGCCGTTCTGTGGAGAGCAGGGCAGTGAAGTTCCACTGAGGTGATGCCCTTCCTCCAAGCCACTGCTTCGGGGACTGCAGGGGCACTGTGAAGATCTAGTGTTGGAATGTGTTGAACATAGCAGTCTTCGAGTCTTCCATGTTTTCCCGCTGGATTACTGTAACTGCAAAGTCATGGTTTGATTGGGCTGGGCAGCTAGTGAACACTGGCGCCGTAAACCAGGTGAATTGCAGGGCATGATGAACAGTAAAGAGAGGGAAAGATAGAAAGCCAACATTTCAGGGCGAAGAAGCGCATCAACAGAAGAAGTGGATATTGCATGATATAGCCCAGTGAAGCAACTTCAGTTTCAATCACTCTCGGCTTTTCATGTTGATGGGTTCCTGCGGCCACCAGGACAGAGTTGGTTCCAGCAGTATTGCTGGTAGAAGCTCCGCCAGGGCAGACAGCTCAGATCAGCTCAGGCTGCAGCTCAGGGCACTGGGAGACGTTTCCGAAATTTCCACAACTTCGCTGTGGATCTGATTTGGGCTCCTGAGGTTCACCTACATTTGCCCACTGACAGAAACTGTGTACATGCCACAGTACTCGATTGGGCTTCCTGCTGATACAACGTGCTCGGTGGATCACAATAACTTGGCAGAACGCAACAAGCTTCGAGCTCAGAGGGGACAAATTGGGTTTCTGCATCTTATACTTTTGAAGTGCTGTGCATTTTTGATTCTGTAAGCAATGCGTTCCCTGTTTTCTCACAGCGATCCAGTTCAGAGATTCTCCAAATCCTTCAAAAAGCGAATCTGTGGCGAAGATTTTGAATGATCCGTGGCGAGTGCCATTGCCATAGCCATAGCAGCCATAGCAAGGCTGTACCTTGAGATCCCAGATGGTTTGAAGGCCAGTGGCCCGGATCTGCGAAGGTCATCCATGGATCTGATGGATCTGATGATGAAGGAATAGTTGATTAGAAATTGATGAAGATAGCATAAGATAGCTGTAGTTGGACTGTAGTTTCATGATGTTTCATGTTGTTTCATGATGTTTCATGATGTTTCATGTAGTTTCTAGATTGCATCACCTGCCAGGGCGACACTCGCTATGCATTCACGGTGGATGTGGTGAACGCTAGGCATCGCATGGCATTGCCTATTGGGTGCACCCAATAGGCGAATGATATCCACCAGGGTGAAATCATGGAAAAATCCAAGTCTCACTCCTTTGTGCCTGGGGTATTGGGAGCTGCTTGGTAACACAAGTACTGGATGTCATTGAAAGTCCTGCAAGTTTGACATGCTAAATTGCTTGTAGGTTTGTGGACCCTCTGAGAAATGTGTTCCGCATGGCAACCATGTTGAATGGAGAGGCAGGAGCTGTGCAGCATTTAGAGGGTATGTTACACTTGGCTTGTCCTTAAGCAACAAAATTGTAAAGATAATGATTGACAATCTCACCGTTGTTTGCTTCACAAGACAGATAAGATGGCAGTGGAAAAAGGAATGTCAAAGACAATTCACAATGCTCATGTCGACTGGTGCAGTTGAACTTTACAAGGAAGGGTATTGAATCGATTCATTTATATAGTTGTTTTTTGTTCCATGGCTTATTCCAAGTTTCATGGCATGACTATCATATTTTCCGGCTCAAGTCCAAAATGATACCGCCCCACGCCCCTTGAATCAGATGGCCGCGACTTTGCCAAAGATTTTTGAAGATGGGATGATAGCGTTGTTCCAATAGTTGTTCTTCATCATCATGTGATGATACGTAGTGATCGTGATACATGTGATTTCCATGTGTACATGTAAAATCACACACACCCACACGCGGCATATACATGTAGATGTAGATCTGGGATAGATAGACAGACAGACAGACAGACAGAGATAGCTAGCTAGCTTGATTGATAGATAGATAGATAGATAGAAGTAGGTATGTATGTATTTATTTACTTTCGGATTTGAGCTATGCCATACTAACGTTCTTTTGCCTCGCACAGATGCATGAGTTTTACAACCACATCATTCACAGTCCATTGGGGCTGTGATGCTTCTTGGATCCCAGCCCAGGCCAGTTCGAGGATACATGTCGCGGTCATTCTGCTGAGACTGACTTTTGTCAGCGGACAGACGGTGAGCTGTTCGAACTTGCAGCCTTATGTGTCTGAGATGCATTGAGGAACAGCTTTTCAGCTGGCCGTCTCGGGGATGCAGCCGCAGAAGCGGAATCACTAAGTCCAGTTGCTCATAACTCACTTAAATGTGCAGGCTGCTCGAAAGCTGCTTTGCATCTAGTGCTTCAAAGTCCGGCCAACTTTGCAGCTCAGGTCGAATGGGTTGGACAATGGAAGACTGCTTGTCAGCCAGCAGGATCTACATCCAACTTTTCTTGGTTGCAGTTGGATTGACTGCGAATGTCTATGGGGAGCACTGTCTGCACCGGTCGCAACTGATGAGCTGGCGCCCTGCTTCGAAGAAGCTCTGCTCAAGAGCCTTTTGGATCAGGAAGCTTGGCTACAAACCTGTCACCAAAACTGATGACCTCAGCTACCTCAGAAGGACATGTCATGGAATCCTACTGTGACAGGGTCATTCCGCCGGAAAGTGTTTGGATATGCTTGGATTCAACACCCCACTGAATATTTGAATTGGGACTTGTTCAGGCAACGTTGGGACTTCGGGCACACATGGGCGTGGTCCGAAGCAAGTGTTACTCAATCCCTTCTTAGAATTGAGTTTTAAACCTGTCCAATTGATAAACAATCATACTTAATTTGGCATCTCCTTCCCAAAACAAGTTTGAGCAAAACGTCATGTGAAGTCTTCCAAAAGGATTTTTGAATGGTTTCAATAGAGTACAAAGGTGCAGTTTCCAAAATGTAGTTTTACGGGTATCTCCTGCGCACCCTCTTAGTAAGAATTGACCCCGATCAATAAAAATCTAACCTTTGGTGTGGAACTCCTGTAATTCGTTTCTCGGAAGGTGATTTTTTGTCCATTGATAAACTGATAATATAAGAAATCACACTTACTCTTATTCCTTCCCAAAATTTGTTTCTGCACGATTGTATATGAACTTTGAGGCATGCGTTTATGTTTTCTATAGAACTGCCATTTCCAAAATCTTGTTTGCAGATGGCTCCAATGCTTATCCCTGATGATGTCCATCTCGAATTGGGTGGTCCTAACTATAAGCTTCTCCTATTCAATTTAGAAAAGATGAAAAGCAGAACGCCCTGCACTTCATTGGGGGAAGGTTTGGTAATAGTGAGAGAGGATTATTGCTTTGCTTTGCTAACTTTGCTATATGATTTTCGACGTTCAGTGTAGCAGAGTAGGGTCTCCTGCTCTAAGTCGCTGGATCCCCATATGAACTGGTCATCAGCTGAGCATTTTCCAGTTTTGTGAGTGAAGTGACTGATCCGGCAATAGCCCTCATGATCTTGATGCTTGGCATCAGTCTTAGCTGCGCACAAGCACGCACCTTCTTGGTCACTCACCCACTCAATGACTCAAGCTAGTACTTGCAATACTTTCATGATTTTCATGAATCCCAGTGTATCCTCACTGTTGTGTGCGTCATCAGTCACGTTCGTACTTCCTGTGCGTGCAGTTTCACAGCTGCCTCAGTCCATATCCCTTCACAGCTGAGGACGTGAAGTGGTTCATGACGTCACTTCTGCGGACATGCAGGACCTACACCAACGAGCTCTCACAGCCCTGTGGCAAGTGCGACAAATACAAAGATGTTTCGCTCCAGTGCGGCTCAGCTTCCTGAAGCCACCTGAAGCCGCACCGTTTCACCAACGTTTCACTTCGTTTCACTCGGTGAAGGGCGGACCAGCAGGGAGTCTAAAGGGACACAAAAGGACGATAGGCGTCGATTCGTTGAGCAACTCTCTGGGCATGAAAACAGAATGTGAATTGAGAATAATTGAGAGCATCTGATATGTGATTGGTGGACCATGATGTGAATATGAATGTGTTTCTGTTGATGGAATTGATGGAATATGACATGGAATATGATTGGTAGTATGACTGGAGGGCAAATCGTGGAGTCTAAACACATCACGCTTTGAAGCGCAGGTGGTGGAGGAGGCAACGACAGCAGGCTTCCAGTGGGGACCACGGAAAAAATCCACATATTTCAACCATGTGTCGTTCAGTCGGTTCCGGTGTGGACTTGCTGAGGTTGGCCCAGAGAATGGACAACACCAGGTACATCTACGATTCACTGAGAGAGGTGAGGGCAGCCATCGATGCAGCCCGTTTTCCAAAAGAATGTCAAAAATGTCATGCCTGAAAAGGACAGAAGAGTGGAAGCTTCGGCGAACGTTTGATCCTCAGCGAGTTGGGGAAATAAAATGAAATAAACACATGAAAAACACTAGGAAAACATGAAGAAAATGTGAGAAAAAGATATGGACATAGGAAAAGCATGGAAAAGTAGCTATTGATATCTATTGATAATGTATATATAATGTTGAGGACCATGGGGAACCTCGGTCCTCAGTGCTGCCATCATTTCTGAGATCGTGACGTTCGTCCTTGGCACCACCATGGCAGTGACAGATGCAACGGTGCTCGAAATTCGCGCTCCAGTTGCCGCCTCAGAAGATGATCATTTTGATCATTGCTCACTGTGCTTGGAGACATTTAAAGCATGTTGACACCATAGCTGATATGGCTGTAATTTTAGATATTTGATGATATGTGAGTTCTACTACGGTTGATATTGAAACATTGAAAGCACAATTTGTTGGATATCTGTAGGACCTTCCCATGTCAACAAACTCCTCCGAGCGCCACAGATTGGCTTCCGCTTCCTGGATGCCTGTGATGGCCAGGCAAGCAGCATCGAGCAGCCGCATGGTATTGTCATAATTTTCATAGGGGTTCCTAATATGGTGCAACCAACTGCCCCCAAAAGGTTAGTGGTGTTTGGATGTTGTTGGTCGTTAAATGATGTTAAATGTCATCACTACATATCAATACTGTCCACAATCGTGATGGATGTCAGATATTGATGGATCATTTTTGCTCAGGCACGATGGATGTCAATGTTTCTCATTGTTTCTCACAGGAGACCTGAGGCCAATTCAAATGTTGAGTCGTGTCCAGGTTGGTTGGGCGACGTGGGTGCCATTGATGTTGCCATTCCCTACCTTCGGACTTTGCCTGGTGCTTGGCGAGTGTAGTGTAGGCGTCAGTAGGAAGACGAAAAACAGCCAAACTCTCAGCGATTGGGAAAAGAGATTTTGGTCGAGGATTGGAAAGTAACAATCAATCGTGGATTGGGCAGCGTCTCCTCACCAAAATCTGCCAAATGTACCCAAATCTATCCAAATCTGCGTGCTATGTGAGAGTTTTTCACTACCGTGCTAAGTGATTGCGGTTCTGCCGCTGCACAATTCTGCTCCCGTCCAGTGTCGCGCAATGTCACATGTCTGGAGATGGAACTATGGAACGAGCTGCGAGCTGCTAAGATCATCTCGGATCCTAAGGTCAAGGCATGGGTGCAGCAGACTCCAGCATGGAAAACATTGCACGACTGCAGGTTGCCAGGATCTTAGATTCATCGAGAGGAGATTGAAAGCACAGTGGATGGGGTATTCCGCATCCATTTGTACCTCGTGAAAGCTATTGAAAGCCTTGATGCCTTTGGACAAGGGCACTGCAACATGATTTTGGCCATCAATATCATTCATATATATATATATATATATGTGTGTGTGTGTGTGTGTCGTCGTCGTCGTCGTCGTCATCCTCATCATCACCATCACCATCACCATCATCATCATCATCATCATCATCTTCATCATCATCATCATCATCTTCATCATCATCATCATCATCACCATCACCATCACCATCACGATCATCATCATCATCAGCATCATCATCATCATCATCATCATCATCGTCATCATCATCATCATCATCAAAATTATCCTCATCGTCGTCATCATCGTCATCATCATCATCATCAAAATTATCATCATCGTCGTCGTCATCATCATCAGCATCAAAATTATTATTATATATTATTATCATCATCATCATCATCATCAAATCCATGGTAGAGTTGATGTGATATGTGCTTGAATGTGATTGATGATATGTTTTGCATCTCCAAGACTGGACCTTGGGAACTCGGCGACTATGGTCTCTTCGTGACGGCCGGCTCCTTGAAGAGACAGTTCTTCTGTGCGGCTATAAGCATGTGAGTCATGTGAGCCATGCGCCCGTCCACATTTGTGGAGTTGTTTGATGTTGTTGGATGGTGTTTGATGTTGTTTGCAATCATTTTTGGGACAGGTGATGAACCCCATGTTCACCCCTGCCCGTAACTTCTGGGGCTTCACGTCGGGCTCTTGGGTTTCGCTTGGGCTTCGCCCAAGTGGGCGAAGTGGCAGCACCGTCGTGCCGCTGTCGTCAGGATCTACGACACGAATATGTTGCCTCTCATGTCCGAGTCCTGGGTCAGGGACTCAACATGGCTGAGCAAAATTCCAGGGCCAAGACAGTTACGAAAGAGGCATCTACATGGGAGATGCATGAGATATATTCAATATGTCAATATTATTCAATGACAGTTATACCAGTTCATACATGGTTGATCATATTGGCAGAATCGTGCGCGTAAAGCATCACAGAATCATGTCGTCACCGTGCAATGCATTCAAGAACTCATAATAACTCCATTCACTTCGCTTGTAACACGAACAAAGATAACAAAGCCAAGACTCGGAAACCACATGAAACCACACCTTTTGCAGCTCGTGCAGCTCGGCTTTGGATTTTCGTCATTGGGACGAGGTCTATGGCTTTGACATTCAAGTGGTGTCAGCAGCTGAGAAACAGCCTGGCGAAAGCCGGCTGTACCACGACACCTCCCGAAGTGTTTCATACTCACCGACTTCCAGTAGATATACATAGATATCAGATGATATCAGATATACTAGATACAGATGATACAGAAGCCGTCATCAACGTGAGCGCTCTGACTGTTGCTGTTGAAGGCTGAACCCTATGCTGAAAGCCTACAACCAGGGGAATGGCAGCGAGCTCAGAAAAAGCAGAAAAGTTCCGTGTTTCCAATGGTGTCCACTCATTCTCGGTCAGCTGAGACTGCTGGGTTGCCTTTCAAGCGTGGCTTGATGACAATTCCATCGTCAACTGGAAAGGTGTAGATGGTGAAGCAGCCATCAATCACATTGACATCAGCTTCATGCTGAGTACAAGGTTCGCAGGGTTGCTAGAATGCCCTTCATTTGTTTTCTTTGCAGTGTTATTGCAATCAAAGTCATGTCTTCACATTTGTTTCACCCTCACAAAAGCATCACATTGTTATAGGTCTCCTGCTGTCGACATGTCGGTTGAAGGATGTGCAAACTGCATGACGAATCAACTGCTTTCTTCGCAGGCTCCCTCCGCAGCCAAATGCAGCACATGCCATTGCCCACTCCCAAGCATCAAAAGCACTGGATTGCACAATCGTACACATTTGTTCCGGATGAAGTGCTATGAAATACCAATGGTTTGAGTTGTTGACTTTGTTCACCACCATTCCATACCATTCCTCAGTCTCAAGAGAAGACTGCGAGTCTCATGTCATGCTTCAAGATGCTTCAAGCCTTTAAGGTGGTAACAGCTCCTCAAGGATTCTTCTTCCCAAGCATTTGTCACGGGCTTGGAGGAATGTTCCCCCCTTTCTGGGACCTTGATTATTTATGCTCGTTGCGTAGCCAAGCAGGGCTTACATGAGTCATCATGATTCCCACAAAGTGAATTAAGTTCCACAATACACAACAAACCGACCAAGCACTTCCTGCACACCGGTGAGAATATGAATAAGGGTCGCCGTCGGCATAAACAAACCATAATACGCCACAGCGTGTGCCGTAGAGTCAGATCTTTTCTGCAGTAGCTGAGATCTAGCCAGCACAAGCACGAGCAAACCCAACGGGAAGTTGTTCGGAGTTTTCAAGTGTTGTTTGAATCCATTTTGGACTATGAGACGTTTTACCTTTATTGCCTTGTTTAACTTGTTGAAACTGCCCAAAAAAATGACAAGGGGTGGCAGAATTTTGAAACGGTTTTGAATGAGTTTCTTCAAACTTCACAGAATTTGGCCCATAAGATCCGGTACTCTCGTATCACTTTCCGGTGCATTGTTTAATCTCAATGAATTGCCTGCATAGTCCGTGAATGATATATAAGTGGGCGATGAATTGCAAGGCCAGAGCTTCACTTTGGACACCTTTACGTTCACATCTTAGTGAAGCCGCATTGGTTTGTTCCATTGGTGATGGGTGAGCCATCGAAAATCAATGCAAATCACTTAGCTCTTGGCAAGCTGACTGCTCCAAGGCCTGGTTTCACAGGATTTCCCAAGGGCACAGGCTGCAATGGGAACAATGGCAACATTCTGAAGCTTTCACCTCAGTGCATTTCATCATGATTGGTAGACATGGTTGGTGCAGGTAAGACCTTATTAGTTGGATTCGAAGTATGACAGGTTGATATCAATGCATGTTGGATCTGAGGATTTCCTTGCCGTTCATGCGAGAGTTGAGGCTTCATTCTTAGCAGATGATATTCAGATATCAGACTCAGCAGTGGGCATGGCTTAGTCATGGACACCTGTTCGGATTAACAATAGGCTGATCACTTGGATCACTTGCTGCCTTGGCTGCGACCTAGTCTGTCAATTCTATCAGGAATGGCACCAGCTACATGTTCAGAGCCCTGGTGGTCAATCCACGTGAAACCTTCACAGATGTGACCTCACCAGCGGCTTGGCAGCTGGCGCTCAGTGTTGGTCGTATTTGGTACTGTACCTGTCAAAGTAACCAATCCAAAAACCCATGGTTTGTCAGTTTACCATCAAGTTCCACATTTGGGGGGAAGCCATTCAACGGGGCATCCTCCAAGTTTGGATCATCTTGGCACCCCCTTGAGACGCCGCACGGCCTTTGCCAGGACAAGTACTGGCGCATTGAATCGCAATATGCAGATGGCACCATGGTGGACCTCAATCGGGTTATCCCGTCCTTTCCAATTCTCTCCAGATTGTCAGCATCTCAGAAGTTGTCACCATGATCCTCCCTGCGGTAGCCTGCATAGATACGAAATGAATCGAACCTAAAACCGGCATGTCTCGGGTTTAGAAAGTGGAAAGTTCGTCGCTCAAGATCATCATCCAAATGCCCGTGCTGCATCGGCTGAGCCCACCTGACAAAATCCAACAATGAGGCGCTACTTTGCGGTCAGCACGCTTTCACAGGCAGACATGCAGGGTTTGAGGGCGGACCAAAATTGCACGAAAACGCTACAATTTTGCTGCCAAACAATGCCTGCGGCTGGGTTGCCCGATGCTGCCGCATCAGACTTCACATCAGCTTCGCAGATGGATCGGTTCTCACACCAGAATGATCCAAAATAGTTGGATACTGCTGGGTGTTAACAATGTATAGCTGCTAATTGCTGATAGAGAGAGAGAGAGAGAAAAAAAAAGAGAAAAGGGGGAGATGGATAGATAGATGATGATGGATGGATTGATAGATGCATGATGGATCTATCGATGTTTTACTTCCCTATGAACCAATGCTTTTCAGCGGGCGTCACCTGAGCCGGAGGTGGGCCTGGCCTCAACCACCTACAGGATACATTTCCGAACGGTTCAAATCTCAGGGCGGAAATGCCATGGCGCCAAGGGATTTTGGTGCCAGATTGGTGCCATGTTGGCAAAATTTGGCTGAGGATGAGTCTTTGCCTCCCCAGTGTGGCAGCTAAGGATATACAGACACAACTGCGTTGAGCACAGTCAAGATGGCAACAAGATTCATTACAACCACCGATGCAAGGCAGACGGTGCACATCTACCCACCGGCTGGAACCACCTTTGGTGGCCTGACAGATGGGGCGTGCATTGATACGGTGAAGGTCTCAGTTTATGACAAAAGTGGTTTTGTTTTGTGAAGAAACATGAAGAAACCTTTGGAACATGGCAGACCGCACTGTAAGGATCCTGTATTGCTGAGCCTTCAGTTCCCAACCCCACTCATTTCTGGGGCCCGGAACTCATCAGCGCCAAGTTTGCTGTTTGACATTTTGCCATCAAGCTCCATCATGGCCTAAAAGGAACGTTGGCATGTTCAAGGGGTTTCAAGGGCACATCGTGGTTCTGTCTTTCTTCGTCCACGCATGTTGTTTCCACGTCCAGGTAACGCGGCTCCCGGAGTGGGTCTCCTGCCAGGTGGTCAGTCCCACAGAGCTGCAGACTTAGCTGCCATGCACAGTTCGACTATTTCATGGGGAATTTCATCAACTGAATCAAGTGGAAGTTTGGTAAGTCGCCAGGTAAATCATATTAAAACCATGGGAATTGAGACATTTTCAGGTAAATCATATATGTAAATCATGTTAAATCACATCAATTTCAGATCCAATAGACGGATATCAATCGGTATCAACTAAGATTGATGACGAATCATGTGCCATCTCAGGTTGCGACTGCGCAATGAAGAGCCAATTCTGGGCGGCCGGCCGTTGATTGCAGGCCGAGCCGATCGGACACGGGAAAGCTGCGGAAAACAAACAATGATGATGTTTGATGATGATGATGATGAAACATCAATATTGAATAATTTGATGATGTTTGATGATAAACATGTGTATATACTGTATTGAAAACGTTGCCGAAAAGAATTTTGTTAATGTATATAAATATTCCCTTGGCTCAATCCATTGCTGCTTTGTTTGTTTGTGTGTGTGTGATTTGATCAGAATCGTGCTGATTTTTTCTAGACACTCATTGACATGCCCGAAGATCAAAGACGTCAATGTGGCAAACGCAATCATAAGCCATCCAACTATATAAATGACCGGTGGGGGGACATGTTAAATCATCTCAAATAGGGGCATGCCCAACCATAAACCCAAATTGGGATGTTTCTTTAGTGGTTTTACCACACTACTAGTGTCAAGTTCCATTTTGGAGCGCTTGATTGCTTCAGGCCCAGTCTTTGAGTTCTTCATCATGAATGCAACAAATGGAGAAAGCACACCACTGCTCAACCTCTTTCAAATAGAGGCCGGAGTGGCACCTATGGCACACTTGTTGTGTGAAGGGTGCAGGCTGGTACATTCTGAATTGCACAGCCAGCTTGAAGTGAGGCAATGACGAGCACCCTTTTGGGAAAGGAGGCATGATGGTAGAAGCTGGCCAGAGTTTGCAGCTCTTTCAAGTCATCGAGACATAAGACGTGACAATACAATACCACATGACTCATGACCCACAAAATTCTGCAAAAAGTGCGACATTGAAGCATATCAATAAGGACAGGCAAATCTACACAAAGCGACTTCCTCCACCCTCGGAAGGATCAAACATCAGCCCCCAATTATAGCCATGATTAACCATTAGGGGTGCCCTATTTTCAGACACACCCAAATATCTACACATCCAATTTGACCAGCCGAGTGGGGAGGACGGCTCGCCTCCAACAGGTTTGGACGGCCCCTGGTTGGGTGATCTACCCAGAGCTGAAACTGACGTCGGTGTCAACGGCCAATATGGGCTATGGACTGCCCGGCGCATAGTTTGGAGCAGGGACTGGGGAAGAAGGCAGCGAGGCTGATGGGAGAATTGGCAGGAAACTCGGGAAATATGTTTGTATGGTTTTACCATCTGGTTATTTAACATAGCCATGGAAAATCACCATTTTTAATAGGTAAACATGGTAAACCATCTATAAATGGACCATTTTCCATGGCTATGTTAAATAACCAGAGGGTATACTTTATTGATTGTGTAGTTTTATCCATGCAATGCAGTTTCCAGTTTTTTTGCATGTGTTTCCCTCAAACCGACTCTGAAACAGTTCTTGGGGCATGTATTTACCAAGGCTCAAACAGACCGCACAGACTTGCAGTTATCTTGCAGATCAGGTACACCAACTTCACCATCATGCTGCAAACAATCACGGAGGCTGGATTGGCAAAGATGTCGAAAGCTGCCCACTTCAAGCTGTTGATTCACCAATTTCCTGGAATGCCGGGGAAGTGCCTCAGCCGGAAAGCACTGTGAATAGGAATAGGTTTTGCCCATTTTTGCCAGGTGCCATCTGGTGGCTCAATTCGTATCATTGCGCCTGATGACTACTACTTTGGTCCGGTGATTGAAACTGCTGCCACTCGCCCTGCCCTGAGTGCCGAAGCCTGTGAAAATCTAAATGCTCAAATGTCCTGGGATCAATTTCGTTTATATACTTGGTTTAATTTCAATGCGAATAGAAAACTTTTGCCGCATTGTGTCATTGTGTGCTGGATTTCATCACAGCACGAGGATACGATCCACTCGTCTCTGAACCATCTCCTCAGGGTGCTGGGCAGGCTGAGCCCGGTTGCATACTTGCTGCAGCCCCTATAAACACAATCTTGTGACGAAATGTGACGAAATGTGACGAAATGTGACGAAATGTGACGAATATGAATGACGAACAGGGAATGGGTTGTGTCACGTTGTGTCACGCTGAAAGTCTCACACTGCACCCTTTCGCGGTGATAGGAGCGGCCGTCGCCCACCCAGGCCACAAGAATGTCGTATTTGATTCTCCGTCCAGTCACACTGTTGGAAGAAAGGTTGCGGACAAAAAGGGCTGTTGCAATGGCAGGTGACGATTTGTCATATCCTCCGGCCGGACAATTGGCCCAAGCCTCACCTACTACTTTGTACTTTCTGAGATCCTGTAGGGCTCTTGGAGCACGAGCACTGTAGCTCCATGTGCCGCAACTTCGCTCAGGGCCTGCTCACTTGAATTTGAGCCCTGTGTGATCATGAATGAGTTGGATGAGCTCATCACACTTGGCTTGGGGCCCGGAAATAGATGTCATATCAGCTTTCTAAATGTCCGCGAATTGTATAGAGGTAGAGAGAGAGAGAGAGGGAGAGATGTTTGAAGGGGAAGCTGTCGCTTTGGACTGTTTTTGAGGGGATCGCTTCAAAGCAGTCCTCTTCCTGTTGTGGAGCTTGCAAATAGTTTATAGCATATCCCCACCCTAAAAAATAAGCCTGCCGATATTATGTGTTTGAAATCCTGAGAACGGTAAAGGTCCCAGCGCCCTCTGGTCCATTCTGGTCCCCTTATGTCCCACCCTGACCAATACCAGGTGAAATCTTCCTGATGCCCCCCCCTGGACCCTGTTTGAAGTGATGAGCTGGGCTGACTGAGGCATGGTTCTGTCTCCTTCACAGGAAAATGCCAGAGTTGGAAACAGGACGATATGCTTGGACTTGAGGCCGCATGGCAATTTCTCTTGAGATGTACTTCTGCGAACGCACATGTGTAGTTGTTAAATGTTGTTAATGGATGTTAATGGTGGGTGCACTTCTTTGCACTACATCCTTTCATTGTTTTCATTGCGATTCAAAACGTGTGCCCGCGGCATCCAGTGCCAGGTCGAAGTGCGATGCTGGAGGGAAACTCTCAGACCTGGTCTCCTGCAGCAGTCAGGTGCGGCCACGAGGGTAGAAATTCATTATGGGGGAAACAGGCACCGCCTTGCAATATATTGATGTATGATGATGTATGATGATGTATGACTGTAGTATGACTGTAGTATGACTGTAGTATGGAGACAATGATGGCGTTTGAATGCATTTGATAGGAAGTTGTGCTTTGTTTTCCTTGGAATTCATGAGCAATGCCCGGCCTCTGCACTGGGATTTGGCCACGCGGCAGGGCAGCACGCTGGACCTTTTCATTGCACCCATGGTGTACTTGCCAGCACGTCGCCTCTTCCAATTCCTGATCCAAGGTCAGGGCTACTGAGGGCTACTGAGGGCTGAGGGACTGGGGCCATCCCCCAGTTATTTTCTGGACATTTCTGGCCCGCCCCAGGCTACAATGCCCGAAATCCTCCAGTCAATTCGTCAATGAACATGTCGGCTCCTCAAAACCCATTGAGAAGCCTTTGAACCCATTGAATCAGTTGTATATATCATACAATCATACTTAATAACGCCTAAGAATGGGCAATAGTGGTTAATAATGGTTAAAAATGGTTAATAATGGTTAATATTGGTTAATAATGGTTAATAGTGAACAGTCCGACTCTTACAAAAATTCCTTCCTGCTGACGAAGCTGCCAGACTGAGTCACACAGTCATCTTATCGGAATATCCCGTCAGAATCTGGATGGATTGTGCACATGGATAGGTGAATGCAGTGCTGGTTGGGTTGGACAGTTGCTCAGAACTGAGGTGGCATTACATGACCAGAAATGCAGACAGACTTCGCCTCAGATGACTTTTTTGGTTGTCAAATGACACCGTGGATTGGAGTAGCGTCTGTTGGGTATGTGCATTTGCATGCGTTTACCATTGTTTATCAAAATTGTGCTGGTACATCACATAACGGACTTGTGCCAACTGTACGGGAATGGCAAGATATGCATCATGGTGGACACGTAAGTTATCGACACGCTGCGTCTGAGACGCCTCAGGTGAAAACACGATTCTGGATGAGAAGCCACAAGTTCCTGGTGTCTCGCTGATTGGCATCGTCCTGGTGGACTCTATGGTTCCTTCAAACACCAAGGCGATGGCGACATCAGCCACATGCCATGGCCATGGCATGGCAGGGAACTTGAGATCACCAGAAGGTCCACAGGTGTCCACGGTCCAAGTTGTCGGCCAGGTGAGTAGCATTGAAAACTATGTTACCGTCACACTTCGGTTGACCACACAGCACGCAGCCCAGACGTGTGAGCAGTGTTTTAACATGTCTTTACCGGTATTGCAAAGGATCCGCATCCAGTGGAATGACAATCCCAGATTCTTCCTGCTTCATTTTCTCAAGGTTTGCCGCAGTCGATAGTCTTTGTAGGATAGTTGTTCGCATGAGGCACAGATTCTTGTGAAGCCCGATGAAGTTAGCGTGGATGTATTATATGATATTATATGATATTATATGTTGCATGTATCCCAACATTGGAAACAATTGTTTGCGTGGCTGCATTCATGATATTCATGCGTGGCAGATGTACACCACTTTTTTACATACTATTACAAGAAGCCATCAACAAGAAGCCTACCTTGCGCGCGGTTGCGCGCAATGAACGAAACATGCCGTTGGCGACAGAAGAGCAGGAACAGCAGGGACCTCAGACGACTCGCCAAGTCGCCCATGCCGCGATTGGTGTGCCCAATTGCATGATATTGCATGTATACGGGCACTATGTATATAAGATAAGTAAACATTGTCTTAATTATATACATTTATATTCATTTCTGTATATACAGGGTGGTCCCGGTTCGTTTTTGGCGATTTCGATTCGATTTTTTATAGAAGGAATTGACTTCGAGAGAATTGGTTTTCGATTCCGCCTAGCGCGATTCGATTCCGATTCGATTCGGAACGATTCGAGGTCTGCGGGGAGTATGGTCGTTAGTAAGGGATTCTTGATTAATATCAATTCGTTAGCTTGCGATTCAATCTTTGATTTGGATTCGTCGTTGAATTTCGATTCGATAGCTTGCGTTTCCATGTGTGGTTCGATTCGATAGCTTGCGGTTCTTTTTCAATATATATATATATTTATTTATATATTTATTTATATATTTATTTATTTAATTATCTATATATACATACAAATATATACATAAGGAGACATACATACATATATTAATAAATATATGTAGATATTAATTTATATATGAATATATATTTATATATTTAAATATACATAATATATATATATTCATATATATATATATATATAATTTTTTACATTTTATTCATATATAAATATACGTGTTTACATTTCTGAAACAAAAGCAGCTTCTCGCAGCCTTTTCGGGCGGCGGGCCGCGGCGATCCCTAGGAACGTTGGATGTTTGACAGGCGTGGGAACATTTGCGCGCTGTCAAACTTGTGTGGAATTCTTTCCTATGATGCACACAATATTTTTTGTATGACCCTCGGATATCCAGGGCAAAATTCACAGTTTCAGACCTCCAGAAGGGTCAGATTATGCTATGTAGGCATGTAGGTACTTAGGTACGTAGCTATGTATGTATGCATGTATGGATCTATGTGTTTGTGTATATGGATGCATAGGGTTCAAGGCTTGGTACGTAGGCATGTGGAATGCGACAGACATGGAGCCGTAATTCTACAAATTTAATTATGATGCCAATAATATCGAATTCACATCCCGTGTGCCCCCGAATACAATGGACGGCGATGGAAAAGTGAGTTTATGTCAAACAAACAGTCTTCTGTATGGTTGGCTCTCCTCTTCCCATTGGACACAATTGAAGCCTCGGATGTGGTTTCAGACCAGTTTCAGACCCCCAGAAGGGACATGTTTGGAATGCAAGTATGTAGGTTAGTTTGTTTTCCGGACTCAATCCGGACTCCACAACCAGAATGCAGGATTCATCTCCTTTTCGTTACCATTCCTCCTCTGATCTCTCTTGTCCTAGATGCGGATGGCTGAGGCTGCTCGTGATGCTGGACCATACAGTCACTGCGTCAGGAAAGCTCTCTGATTGGAGCCTGGGCCCACACGGGAAGGAAGTCCTTGCAAGCCTCTTTCAGATTCATGTCAGACACATTTCAGACTTATTTCAGATTCATTTCAGAGCTATCTGCAGGCAGTACTTTGGGTGAATTCAATGTCCCAGCTCTAGCTGAAACCCCACAAGTGCTCTGACAATTCCGGAAGGAATCCGGACTCTACTGCCAGAATGCAGGATTTGTTTCTTTTTTGGTAACCATCCTCATATAGCGGCATTGTGTTTTGCAGATTGTGAATCTTGAGCAGAAAACGGGCAGCAATGTAGGCGATGTCAAGCAGAAAGTAGGTAGAAAGTAAGTTCGGACATGAATCTCTTGCAGCGAATCCGGACCGAATCCGGGCCCGACAAGCAGAATCCATTGATTTGTTTCTAGCCGGTGAACATCTCAAATAGCAGCCATGTGACCTCCACACAATGAGCGTGGTTAAGCACCCTTCCTCCTCTGATCTCTCTTGTCCTAGATGCGGATGTCTGAGGCTGCTCGTGATGCTGGACCATACAATCACTGCGTCAGGAAAGCTCTCTGATTGGAGCCTGGGCCCACACGGGAAGGAAGTCCTTGCACAAGTCTCCATCAGGTTCATTTCAGTCACATTTCAAATTCATTTCAGAGCTATCTACAGGCAGTACTTTGGGTGTCAATGTCCCATCTCTAGCTGAAACCCCACAAGTGCTCTGACAATTCCGGAAGGAATCCGGACTTTACTGCCAGAATGCAGGATTTGTTTCTTTTTTGGTAACCATCCTCATATAGCGGCATTGTGTTTTGCAGATTGTGAATCTTGAGCAGAAAACGGGCAGCAATTTAGGCGATGTCAAGCAGAAAGTAGGTAGAAAGTAAGTTCGGACATGAATCTCTTGCAGCGAATCCGGACCGAATCCGGGCCCGACAAGCAGAATCCATTGATTTGTTTCTAGCCGGTGAACATCTCAAATAGCAGCCATGTGACCTCCACACAATGAGCGTGGTTAAGCACCCTTCCTCCTCTGATCTCTCTTGTCCTAGATGCGGATGTCTGAGGCTGCTCGTGATGCTGGACCATACAGTCACTGCGTCAGGAAAGCTCTCTGATTGGAGCCTGGGTCCACACGGGAAGGAAGTCCTTGCACAAGTCTCCTTCAGGTTCATTTCAGTCACATTTCAGACACATTTCAGATTCATTTCAGAGCTATCTACAGGCAGTAGTTTGGGTGTCAATGTCCCATCTCTAGCTGAAACCCCACAAGTGCTCTGACAATTCCGGAAGGAATCCGGACTTTTTTGCCAGAATGCAGGATTTGTTTCTTTTTTGGCATATATTACTACAAATATAGATACATACATAAGCACCTACATACCTACATATGAGCCACGAGATACTTCGGAGCTCTAGCTTCCTAGGGTTTCCAAGTGGTTTCAAAGCAGTTTCAATGTTTTGTTTCCTCTTTGGTTCGAATTAAAAAAATCTGGTAGATGCAGGTTTGAGTTAAAAACACCTACATACCAAAGCTACACAGATACATACGTACATACCTACATACGTACATGAGTGCAGCCGCAATTCGGTAGTATTGGAATCGTAATTGGATCTGCCGAATTACAATTCCAATTTAACCGAATTAAAAACGCCTACATACAAAAGCTACATTGATACACACATACACACCCAAATACAAATCAAGTTTTAGGCTGCATTTTGGAAAAATAGCATGCATGATTGGCTCACCCTTCCCTCCCTCTCTCTGTATGTGTGTATGTAAGTATGTAATGTATGTGTGTGTGTATGTATGTATGTATGTAGTAGGTAGGTAGGTAGGTATGTACGTACGTATGTATGTCTGTATGTACGTACGTACGTACGTATGTATGTATGTATGTATGTATGTAAGTCTGTATGCGTGCATGTATCTAACTATTCTATGTAAGTATGTATGCATGTAGGTCCGTCTTTCTGGGAAAAGTTTCTGTATGATTGGCTCTGCCTTTCCCTTTCCCTTTCGATGGGGTTTCAGACAAGTTTCAAACCTGTTTCAGACCCTCAGAAGGGACATCTTTGGAATGCAGGTATGTAGCTATGTAGTAGGTATGAAGGTATCTCCGTAGGTATATATCCATGTGCGTGTGCGTGTATCAAGCGAGTTTTGTCCCGTAGGTTGCACATATGTTTCCGTTGCACCCGCGAAAAGCTTATAGAGCAGAGAAGGTAGTTGAAATCTACCTTAACTCAGCATGTCTGCTGTATACGGCTAGTATACGGCTCATCTTGGTCAAGCCCTAGTTTTGACTTGAACTCAGCATGTCTGCTGTATACGGCCAGTATACGGCTCATCTACAGGGCTTGACCAAAATGAGCCGTATAATAGCCGTATACAGCAGAAATGCTGAGTTCAAAGGAGTTCCAGAGCTTGACCAAGATGAGCAGTATACCGTATACCAAATTCGATTCTACATTCATGATGTAGTTGAAAACTACCTGAAACCAATTACATGCGTACCTGGAGCCGCGTTTGTGGCCAAATGGTAACTTTGGGGTCAAGGCAGCAACCAGCAAAGCAGCCTGGCAGGTACCTGGATCGCCTCCTTTCTTCTGACTCTCCACCAACACTTGGTGCACGGTGCGGGTGCGCTCGCTAGCTTAGCTTGCGTTTGGTTGAGGATGCATACCAAAGATCCGAAGCGGACAATAACAACTATGTCCGTTGGTATGTGCCATTGCCTACCAGATATATAGATCATATGGGTTGCAATTTTACCGATGGTATCTTTTGGCCCTTGGCGTTCCAGGGCAGGTGTTGGCCATAATGGTGATGCAATCGCCCGCTTGGGACTGACGGACGTGAATCATAACCTGCAGGCATCGGAGGCATCACGGGGATATGTCATGTCCACTGATGGTATATAATGTATGCCTCTTTCAACATCACGGGGATATGTCACGGGCATAATGTATGATAATGTATATTAAGTTTCTTCCAGTTATGCTTCAGTTGCATTCCCGGACGAAATTCGATAGTAGGATTGGTTATATACACACATGCATACATACCAACCTACGTACCTACCTAGCTACCCAGCTACATATCTACACACCAAACCTGTCCCTTCTAGGGGTCTGAAACTACTTTGAAACTAGTCTGAAACCTGTTAAAATCTTCAAATGTGACTTGGTGGGGGCAAGATACATACAGAGATGGAAATCATGTTTGCCCTTGGAGTTCCAGGGTTCATAGCCAATCGTCCGTACCCTCATAGTTATATAGTTCAATTAGCCTTGTGGACTTTGTTGTTCAAATTCCACCTTCTTGTTGTAGCAGGATAGTTTTCATGGTTATGGGTCGAATTTGCGTGATTTCCCAATAGATTGAATTCCTCATCGTTCGTATTTTAGATTTGTCTTCACATCCCTGGCCATGTAATTTAACCGTTACCATGTCTTGGCCGCGCCAGGAGCAAGATCCAGGCTATAACGTGGTCCGCTGATGTAGAGACGGAAAAGGGCCGTGATGGATACTGGCGGCTGGCTGGTGCGTTTTTGAGAAATATCGTCGATCAAACTCTGAATTCAATCACTCAGGATAAACTAGAAGAATATGAAGTCCCTCCAATTTTGGTTTCCCTTATTGTATTCATGCACCCAAATTCACACATAGATCCAAGAAATTTATATAAAGATTTGATAAGAAAATAATATTTAATTTATTGAATCATATTTGACCGTTTATCTACTACTTGGTCACGGCGCTTGTATAAAACTGAGTTCGTATTTTATTAAAGCTTGCATAGTAAGATAGTATGCAATAATAATCTCAAGCACTTGCGTGGTTCAAGACAATACAAACATACAAGAACTATATATATATGATCCCGGGTATGCATGGCCCCGATTCCCGTCGATTCGGTTCCCGTTGAAAATCGATTCGTGGCGATTCGGTTCAAACAACCGACCGATTCATGTTTGATTCGATTGTTAATTATTGCCGTGTTCAGGTTCCTTAAAATCCTGGTCGATTCAATCCGATTCGATTCCAAACGATTCTATTTTTTCCGATTCCGGACCGGTTCGGTTCCTTATGTGCAGCGGTTTAGGTTCCTGAACCGTTTTGGAACCATCCTGTATATATATAGATAGATAGATCATATCGTTTGTTTATAGAACGCATGCATTTTATGTGTTCGATATTGTTTTAATGTGTTTTTATTGTTTGTTCAATTATTTTATATATATATATATATCATATATATATATAATAGTATTTATGTGATTATGCATATACATATACAGTAGATATATATATATATACATGTGTGTGTGGGGATGAAAATATGATACGAGAGATGTTTTCCTCCTGTCCTGTGAAGGTGGGTTAAAATCCCAAGGATTTTGGAGGTGCAAGAGTGGGCCTCTTCAATCTTTGCTGCTCCGGGCCACGCTCGGAACCTTGCACGTAGACAAGCCGATGCTGCTGCCGCAACTTGGGTTACGACTTGCTGGGGCCATGGGAAAACCATGGAAAAGCCAGCAAAATCGCTGTTGAATGTCATTCAAATGCATTTAAACAACTTAAAAATGAACAGCAAACCATGGTTTTGCCAGCCAGAGACGTGAGTTTTCTCATGTGTTCCGCATGTTTTTGCTTTAAAAAAACCAGTGATTGCAGTATGAGCCAGTTTTCCATGGGTAGTAGGAGGAAGTTGTGCTACGTCCCCACCCATTTGGAACTTCACGTGCTGCATAATTATTTTGCTGACCTTGTCAGCATGCTTCATCAATCGTATTGGTATATATATATATTCAAACCTATCTGCACGTCACAAAACTCGTCTCTGCGTTCGCTTCCAAAGGGAGATGTGTTCTGTGCCAAGATATGGACAGCTGAGCAGTCAGGCATTGATTCGAACGAGTGCAGAAGGAACAAGTGTTTGGCCAAGTGCAGACCAAGGAACTGCATCGCTCCTTGTCAGCCTTGGTTACATGGATAATTAAGGTTAAAACATGTTAAAACCATTGGGTTTCCCCATGAGGAAACCATGGACATGTTCAGAACAGCATTGAACCTTCTTTGATCCCGTTTCTTTTCCTGGGGACATTAGCAAGTCTACATGGTGCATCGCGATGCTCACTGGTCCACCTTCACGACCCCAGGGCCCCAGCCCTGCCCTGATGAAAGCTCCTGGCTGGAATTGATACAGTAAGCACGCTGGATCAAACTAGTAGATATTTTAATCTTATGTGGTTAGATACAACATGATAAAACATTTAAAACAAAAAAATGAAAACCCAGCTTCTTCAAAATTATTCAATCTTCCATTTTATGCATATCATAACCCCACGGCCAATAAGAAAGTGACCTAGGTTGGCGATGCAGCTGGATTCAGGTCCAGTGAAACGTCGAGCAACCCATGCACTTCGCTCCGCGGTGCCGTGGAAAACCATATGGAAAACCATATGGAAACCCATGGAAAACCAAATTCCTGGTGCATGGTTCACCACATTTCACCACTAGGAACTTGGTTTTCCAATGTTTTGCCAAGGTTTCCAGTAAAATATCTACAAGTTACTCAGTTACTCTGCTCCTTTTGGGGAGATTCGTAAATGCCGTAGATTTGCAGAGAAGAATGCTGCTTTTCCGGATGCCAGATGTTTGCTTGAATTGCTTGTGTCACTTTGCATGGCCAGGGAGTTTTGATGAGTTTTGGATATTGGTAGCCAGTGCTTCCACATGCACTTGTTGCTTTTGGTGTTTTTTTGAGATGTAATGTCAATGTGTAAGACCGTAACAGCCCTTGTCACAGAAATGGCCACATAACTGCTTCATGAGAATTAGTTTTCAACTTTGGGAGTTTGTTTGTACCTTAACCTTGCAGGTGCGAGAAGCTCTACGTTGGACAGATCATGGCAAGGTATCACCCATCAGGCTCTGTTCGAAGATGCTCTGAGCCTCCAAACATTCAGCTTTTAGTGAGTTCAGTGAGTCATGGTGTGCAAAAACATTGTCAGAAGCCAGTCGCGTGAGGCTTGCAGACTCTTTGGCAAATTGCGCCGTGGCATTGCATGCTCCCACTTCTGCTATCCGCTCATTGTGCTCACTAGCCAGGGTCAACGTCGGACTGTGGAGTGCTGTGAGGAACGGCAGCCTGCGCAAGCACATTGTGCCTCATTTGAGCCGGAGTGCTTTGAAGATTTGTAAAGCGCATTTACACTCTTGCGACTGGCAAAAAGATTTGGAAGAAACCCCATTCTGATCGTCATTCTGCCCCACGCGAAATGATTGAACAGGAAATGATGATAAATTGTGTCAAGTCGAGGATATGACTATTGACATTCAGTGATTCTAGTGGTTTTTTGTTCGTGTTCTGTCCATTTCCCGCATTGGCCCTGCAGAAAGCGCTCTTTGATATGTGCTGCACTGAGATCACTGAGGCTCTGAATGGCACGGAAGATCAGCTCCGTGAATTTGGCCGATCCCAGGAGAAATTTGTGACAGAGGAGGAGGTGGCTCTATGGCGAGATTGGTTGGTTACAGCAGACGCAGAGATCCAAGACATGGAAGACACTGCACCATCTGCACCTGTTGAAAAGGAGCCTCAAAAGGATTCAAAAAAAGAGGAGGCATTAAAGATGCAGTTGCTTCGCGACTATCAGAAGTCAGCAGTTGAGGCCGTGAGGAGTGTATTGCCGGAAAACTGCTGCGTGGTATTGCCCTGTGGGGCAGGAAAGACTCGTGTTGGTGCAGCACTTACTTCAGAGTTCCTTGAGTCCTCTCCAGGCTGTGTGGTGGTTTTATGTCTGCGACGTGAAGGAATCCGGCAGTGGAAACGTGAACTCTCACAGAACTGGGGCATTTCCGCCTACGAAGCTGGAGCTGCTCAGCCTGGAGAACTCACAACTTCCCAAGTGATTCTGGTGACTTACCATCGGATGCTCTGTGAGCGTCGACGTGCCCTTGCAGAGACATCAGATGGACAGCCGGAAGCTGGTGGATCATCTGGATCCATCGCCGCCAGGCTATGCGCTGCTGACAGAGGTTTGTTGATTGCAGATGAGTGCCACATGGTCCCCGCGCCAAAGATTTGTGAACTTCTCTCAAGTTTGCTGAGCAGCTCCCGGAGACTGGTGGGTCTCACTGCGACCCTTCTGAGGGAAAGTGGGGTGAACAAAGAAGCCGCAGAGAACGGTGAAGGAGATGTGCCTTGGCCACTGCTGGGAAAGTGTGTCTTTCGCGAAACTTTTGCAAACTTAGCTCCGGAGTATTTGGCACCGGTGCGCTGTGTAGAAGTATCAGTGCCAGTTGTGGGTGAATGGCGCAAGATCTTCAAGAAGCAACAAC